TCTTGACTATTTGATTACTTATTTCTTACTTTTTCTTATTTCTTATAGTGTGCGGGCAGGCTGCACTGCTCCGTCTTAGTAGGCTGTTATTATATAAAGCTAAATTTTAGTTAATAATTACTTGTATTTTATTTTTTCTTCTTCTAATTAGTTTTTAAATAGGTAAGTTTTTAATAGTTAAAAATAATTTTTCTTTTATAAGGTATATAGTAGCTTAAATTTTCTAAGTCTGATAATTTTTTATTTTTTTAAGTTTAAAAAGTTAAAAAATCGACTTAGTATCTATTTTAGTATTTTTAGAAGGTTTTATTTTTATAAAAGAATTATAAAAGAGTTTTTTATAAGAAGAAAAATATAAAAAATTATTTCTAGTTTAGTATTAAGCTTTATAAGAAAGATTTTTTAAAAGAAAAATAAAAAATTAATTAAAAAGATTGTTTTTTAAAAGAAAAGAAAATAAAAATAAAAAATAAAAATAAAAAGATAATAAGAAGTTTTTTCTTTATATAAAAAAAATAAAAATAAGTTAAATTTTTTAAAGTAATTATAAATTAAAATATAAAGTAAAATAAAGTTATAATCTATTAAAGTTATAAAATACTCTTAGAAATTAAAAGAAAAATAGTTAGTAAACTATTAAAATTTTAAGAGAATAAAAAAGTTAAAAGAGAAAATAATTATATAAAAATAGTTATTGTATTAGAATTATATATAGGAAAGTTCTTATTCTTCTATTTTTTTTAAAAAAAGAAAGAGAAAAATTTAAATCTATATATAATTATTTTTTTTTCTTTTTTAAGTTAAAAAGTAACTTAGTTACTTCTTATATACTTTCTACCTTCCTAATTTTAGTTTTTTAAAATTCTGAAAACTATTTTTTTATTTTTAAAACCTATTTTTCAATTCTAGAAACTTAGAAACTTATTTTTCATTTTTTAGGTTCCGAAAGTATAGAAGTTTATTTTTAGCTTTTTAGATTCTAGAAGTCTAGAACCTTCTTTTCAGATTCCGGAAGTCTAGAACCTTCTTTTCAGATTCCGGAAGTCCAGAACCTTCTTTTCAGATTCCAGAGGTCTAGAACCTTCTTTCCGGGTTCCGTACTAGTTTCTTGGTTCTAGGCTAGTTTCTTAGTTCCAGGCTAATTTCTTAGTTCTAGGCTAGTTTCTTAGTTCTAAGCTTGTTTCTTAGTTCTAGACTAGTTTTTATTTTAGTAAAGAAATAGAGAAATAATTTAATTTTTAATAAGTTATTTTTTATTTAAATATAATAATAAAATATATATAATAAGTTATATAAATAATATAATATACTAAACTATTAATTAAATATTTAGTTTAAATACTTTAATAAAAAGTAAAAAAAAAAAATTTGAAATATTACTTTTTTAAAAAGCTAGTTATTTTAATATTATATACTATCTATATAGAATATATACTTACTAACTTAATAATTTCTAAAATTAAAAAGCTTAATAAGATAGAACAGTGCAGCCTGCCCGAAACACTATAAGAAATATAGAAAGAAGAAGAAGAAAGTAAGAAAGAAGAAGGAAGTAGTTAAATTAGTTAAGAATAGTTCCTGGAAGAAGTGCTGCAGTTCTTCTGGCAGGAATGGAATAGAACGTCGGAATGGTTGATCAATGAAAATAGGGCCATTTCATAACCATTGGAGGCTTCCAAATAGAGGGAAGCTAAAAATCATACTAGTGTCAAATAGGGGACACTTCCACATGTAAAATACTAGAAGAACTGTCTAGAAATAGGGCCAGACCAGATCTGAAAAGATAAAGAAGAAATTAATTAGAAGAAGGACTAATAACTTAATAATTTACTAAAAAATATAATAACTTGATTAATTAAAGAAGAAGAAGAACTTTTAGAATTCCTTCTAGAAGAAGGAAAGAAAGAAATAACTATTGCTATGGCCTATGGCAAGGAACAATATTCTTCCGGCCTATCTTTATAGTTATATGAGAACGTCCTCCTTTTTACTGATATCCTCTTTTTCACTATTATATTAATATTAGATATTTTACTTAATTTTCTAGTAGTAGAAAGATAATTACTTTCTTTAAGTAAGTAAATAATATTAAAGATAAAATAAAAAATAATAATAAAAATAATAATATTATCTTAATTATTAATTAAATAGTAATTTAAAAATAATAATAAAAATAATAATTATAATAAAATAAATAAACTTAATAATTATAACTTACTTATATAAGTTATTTAGAAAGTTAATAAATATATAAATAGTTTAGAAACTAAAAAAAAAATAATTACTAATAGTTAAATTACTAACTTAAAAACTTATTTTAAAATCTACTTTAACTACTTAAAATAATAAGTAAAGAATTTAAAAGTAAAATAATAAAGCTTATAATTTAAATTATAATTACTTAAAGATAAGTAAGTTATTAAATAAGCTATATTAGTAAAAAAGTAGCTAATAATACTAAGATTTAGGATATTTAAATACTTCTACTTAAATTAAAAAGATCTTAGCCCTAGTTTTTAATAAATAATAAGAAAGTAATTAAAAAACTATAAGTAAATAAAATAAAAAGAAATAAATAGTTAAATAATTAATAAAGAAATTAAAATTAAAAATTTAAATTTTATTTTATATATAATATTATAAAAATATAAATAAGTAAGATAATAAAAATATTATTTATTTTTAAAAGTAGTTAAAATATTATTAAATTTTTACTACTATACTACTTTAGATAGTATATAATTATAAGCTAAATAATAATCTTATATAACTATATAAAAGTAAATATTTCTATATTTATTTAACTAAAAAAGAAATAATAATTTTATTCTCTTAATAGCTTACTTAATTATAGAATTTAATATATAATCCTATTAATAATAATATATCTAGTATATAAGTAATTACTAGTCCTATAAGTAATCTATTAATAGATATTTATTTTAAAGTAAATAAGTTATATTCTCTTACTTTTACAATTATAAGCTATTACTTATATCTAATAGTAAAGTAGTATACTTAAAGTTATAATAAAAATAAAAACTTTTTTATATATAATTTTAATATAATAATTATTTTTATATAATTTATTTTTTTAATTTTTTTAATTTTTTTAAATTTTTTTAATTTTTTTAATTTTTTAATTTTTTTAATTTTTTTAATTTTTAAAAATTTTTAATAATTTAATAATTATTATTTTTTAATTTTTTAAAAATTTTTATAAATTTAATAAATTATAATTTTATTTTATTTTATTTTTTAAATTATAATTACTTTATTATAATAAATACTTTTATATAGTAGTTCTATTAATACTAGAAAGAAGTCTTTACTAGTTATAGTAGTTGTTAGTAATTTTAGTAGTTATAATATTATATTTTAGTAAGTTATAATAAGAAAAGGTTATTCTTCTCTAAGGTAAGTGTGTGCGGGCGGCACTTCTTATATATATTAGTTGTGACTATATGGAGTTCTGGTCTAAGTGAGAACTGGCGATGGTTAGTTCTAGCAGTTGCCAGTTCTTACAGTTGCCAGTTCTTACAGTTGCCAGTTCTACTATCTGTCACTGTTGTTCGTGTGATAAGATGCTGAGCCGTGACAACCCATGAGTGGAACAGAGATGAAAATATGCATTATTACTTAGACCGGTATCAATGAAAGCCCCCGAGATATCGGGAAACCCATTTCTAGATCAAATTAATAGATTCCTACACACACACACACGCGTGTCAGAACAAAGACTTATACGAGACGACACAGGTGAAGTAGGCCAGACTCACATTTTATTAACTACCATCACCAGCTTTCCTCGCGGTTTCACCCGGCGTCAGATAACAAGGACGCAAGTTTCGTATTTGAAGCTTTTATATCCGAAACGGTAGCATCCACTATCCAAATGGCAATGTCTGGTGTTGCAGTCTCTTGGATTGAAGGTTGCAGCATGAGAAAATGTCATTCGGGAGCCCAATGTGGCACCCACGTCCACTCTCGACGAGAAAGGGTTCGGACGACGCATGGAAGGACAGAGGTAGTCCCCACGCCTCATTAAACGATACAATTTTAGAGTGATCCCGGATCCCATGGCGCTTTAGCTCATGCAGTTGCGGCGGCGCTAGTCCACACTCGGGGAACAGGGTCCATCGCATGCACGAAGCTGAACCCTCAAACCCTACCGTCGACTTGCTTGTTACCCCGCAATTTCTCCTCATGGGCTTGCTTCTTACGCCATTGACTTTCCCCGCTCGGTAAGTCTAAGATGCTAGTTGGGGGTATCATTAGCGCCTCACGTTTGAGACAACCCAAATCCGAGACCCTAAATTGAGTCGGACATGGTGCTTAGAAAACTGAAGGACAAGTTTTCGAAGCGGCCGAGTGTTAGCCATGGGCCTATTGTTGACTCTGGCGCTCGGGAGGTATCAAAGTCACCAACCGAAGTAATCGAACGACATGGGTTGTCGTTCGTAGCTGAAGGCCCGTCGGCTCATGATGGAGCAGAGCAGTATCCCGTGGATATCATTGCGATTCACGGACTGAACGGAGACGCCTTCCAAACGTGGACCCACCCGAACGGGACTATGTGGATACGGCATCTACTGCCAGGTATCTTACCAGGGTGCCGAGTGTATACTTATGGGTACCCGGCGAAGGTCTTCTTCAACCCATCCATCTCAGGGGTCCGGGAGTATTCGCGCGGGCTCTTAAGTGCGGTGAGGGATCTTCATGAAGATGTAAGTGCTAGGACTTGCTTTGTCTTTGTTGCCGGTTAACTAATGTTGATCAAGGCTGGTCGCCCGATCATTTTCCTTTGCCACAGCCTCGGAGGGATCGTTTGCAAGCAGGTGAGTATATCACAAGCTTCCATGGTTTATGGATTTCTAAGATGCTAGGCATTGGTGACCGCCCACGAAGAAGATGCTTTCCGCGGAGCAATGTTGAAATCTGTTGTTGGGATTGTGTTTTTAGGCACCCCCCATCAAGGAAGCAACTGTGCAAACTTAGCCATGGCGATTGGCGGCATGCTCAACGCCAACCCACTCGCGACGAGGTCCACGTCTGCGGTTGTGAAGGCCGGCGATCTAAAACTTCTGACCTACAACTCCGGTCCGCTGCAGGACCTGATCTTGTCCGCAAGGCATCGGCTACAGAACCTAATGGTGGTCTCGTTTTACGAGACGGAGCCGACGCCACCTCTCAACTCTTTGGTAAGTGGGTGTCCTTTATTGTGCTTCCGGACTGTCAATCCAAGTCCTCATTCCCTCCACTATGGCCCATCGGCACCGCTGCAGTGTGTCCGTAAAGGTTCAATGTAATTTGCCCGCCCCTAGCATGGTGCATTCCCCCACCCGTCCCTCTGCAGTTTCAGGGCTGAGTTCATGAATCGTTTGGGCCTAGGTTGTCGATCGCGCTTCATCTATACTAGGCATACCGAACGAAGAGGTGATACCGCTATTCGCAAATCACCGCGATATGTGCAGGTTTCCGAATGAAAATGAGAGCTATAGGAGAGTGTCCCAAGCTCTTCGGAGGATTGCTTCAAGGGCACGCGATGTGACGCAAAGACCGAGAAGGGTCAGCACGCATTCGTCGAACATGAGTGAGTTCCATTCATAATTTCAGACGGCATTTAACCCTCTAGGTCCTGACTAGCCCAAGCATTCAACGAACTAGAACAGACCTGCATCATGCTACTTAGTGTCCATGACATCGCCGACTATAAGCGGCTACTCCCGAAGCCGGTGAAGGGCACCTGTCAATGGATTCTAAATCACCCTTCATTCAGGACTTGGTTCGACAAGACGGAGAATGCTCTCCTATGGTTGATTGGCCACCCGGGATGCGGCAAAACAATAACGTCCTTGTCGCTGGCTAACCATCTCGAGCACCGCCAGAAGCCGCCAGACAGGCCCGCCACAGTCCTCCTATATTTCTGCGACGACAAAGTCAACAGGCAAAAAGACGCCATAGGTGTCCTCACAGGCTTGATTCTTCAAATCCTTCATCGCCACCGGTCGATGATTCGCTATGTGCGGAAGGTGTACGAATTGCAGGGACCGAGCTTAGTTCAGTCCTTCTCGTCACTTTGGAATATCTTCTTGAATATTATAAGGGACCCAAAGTCTGGTCCTATCTGCATTATTCTTGATGCATTGGATGAATGTGACAGAGTTACCTGCCACAAACTTCTAGAGTCAATTTTCGAGTTGACAACTAACCCTGACTTTGAGACGGGCAGCCACAAGTATGTGAAGGTTCTCTTGACCAGTCGACCTGTTCTGGGGGAATTACATCCCAGCGATGCTCCTCCTGGATGTCAGCTTTCTATTGATGAAAATCAACCTGGGTACAGTGAAGATTTGCAGACTTATATTCGCCATAGAGTGGACGATTTATCTCGCAGACGCGACTGGGCTCCCGACATAAAAGCCTTTCTCCTCGACGCCCTCTGCTCCAACGCCAATCAAACTTTTCTCTGGATCCACACTGTTATTGAGTCCCTAGAAAATACCCTTCTCGCATCAATCCAAGACTTGCGGGACATTATCAGTACCGTTCCCCCGGACCTTGAAGCGATATATATGGACTTCGTAACGGGCATCTCGCCTAACTATCAGGCGGTGGCATCAAAACTCTTGAAGCTGCTATTAGCCAGCGAAAGACCTCTCCAACTGGACGAGATCAATATTAGTTTTACGATAAGTTCGCACCACGACAACGCGGAAGATGTTGCTCGCGCCTGTCAGACTTCCATCAGGCATACCCTGCAGGGGATCCTGGGTCCGTTCATACGGATATCGGAGTCAACGGTGTCTCTAGTGCATCAATCTGTAAAGGATTTTCTTCTTCGTGATAGGTATCATGGCGAGAAATTCCCAGCTATGCTTTCGATTAGCGAGGGGGAGGCCGCCCTGGAGATGGCGTCGGCTTGCATCCGGTACCTACAGCTCGATGACTTCTCCACGGATATCTCCGCCTCAACGGACGTCGAGTCCAGCTCGGAAGTCTCTGGGGCAGATTGTGAATCTCCGACAACTGATCTCATTGGTGGGTTGTGGGATGAGGAAGAGCAGGCTCTCGGCATGGGCAAACTCTTCCGAGAATCTGGTTTCGCAGATCCCGAAACCTGGCAGACTCTCGAAACCAAGTACAAATTCTATGACTACGCGGCGCTGAACTGGACCAAACATTTTGCCCTTTGTGAAGCATCCGCCTCATCTCAATTGAGAGAAGCCGCCACGGCTCTCATCGACGTTGAGAACTGGAACTGCTACAACTGGTTACAGCGCTACTGGGCTGATCCAAGCACCCATGGGGATAGCAACCCCGCTGACTTCCACCCTATTGTCGCCGCCGCGTACTTCGGCCTCCCCGAGACGGTGGTAGGCTTGCTTGAGAGTATCGACCGTACTGATCCTACCCTCGACCGGGCTCTCTTCTTCGCGTCACAGCAAGGCCACCTCCGGGTCGTTTCGGCACTGCTCCAGGCTGGGGCGGATCCTAATGCTGAAAGTCGCGAGTCCCAGAGGGCCCTTGCAGCAGCTGCTGAACATGGCCACCTGGGTTGTGTCATTGCCTTGGTAACAGATGACCGAACAGATCTAAACGGACGGGGCGGTAAATTTGGGAGAACCGCGTTATCGTACGCCTGTTCCAATGGACACCGCGAAATCGTCAAAGAGCTTCTGACAAGGGCCGAATGCCGGGTTGACCAAGCTGACTATAAAGGCTTGACTCCTTTCATACATGCTGTCAAGGGTGGTTACCTATCTATCGCTAGAACGCTGGCAAGGCGTCCAGACGTTGATATTAATCACCGCGACAAGGAAGGACGCACGGCCCTGTCGTGGGCCGCGGAATATGGGATGGATGAGGTTGTCAAGTGCCTCCTCAACATGCGCCGTATAGATCCTAATGTTGCAGACGAGAATCGCAAGTCTCCCCTCTCCTGGGCGGCCGGCAATGGCCGCGCCGAAACTGTTGACATCCTCATGCGGAACAAACGAATCAACAAGGCTAGTATTGACAAAAACAAACGTGGAGCCATATCATGGGCTTGTGCGGGCGGGCACCCAAATGCCTTGCGGGTCCTTCTTAAGCACGAGTGTCCGGGTGTCGATGATAGGGATGTTGACGGCTGGACACCCCTGGCCTGGGCTGTCCAGCAGGATCGTTCTGATGTCGTTGAAGCGCTCCTCGCAACTGGGAAGGTGGATATTGAGGGGCGTGATGATTCCGGCTTGACTGCGCTATTCTGGGCGGCGGGGTACGGGCATCTTCCAGTCGTGAGAGCACTCCTGCGGGAGGGAGCCAACCCTAGGGCTATGAATCATGCTGGCAAGATGCTAATAGAGGTCGCATCTTCCCTTCCAAATGTTCGCCGGGAGATATTGGACGAGTTGAACAGGCACATTGAAGAGATGGCCCCTACTGGGTCGTCGTGATTATATTGTTCGCGGTATAGTGGAGATGTAATATCCAGATAAAGTATTTGATTTTGGGTGGAATGCTTCATGGATAGCTCTCTTCCCATAGAAATAGAAGGGCTAGATTGTTACGAGCATGAATTGATTACATTTGCAGAGGTTTCTTTGGGGCTGAGCTCTGACCATGCGGCCCTCGGAAGATTAGCTATCGGAGATTTTTCTAATCCTCCCCGTTAATAGGACAGGGCTGCTCCTACGGAGTGCGCCACGCGGATGAGGGCATGAAGGGCTGCTATTTCAATGCGAGATTTTGTAGTTTTAGTGGTGCCAGGTAAGTTGTGAAAGGCATGGCGGCCGGCCGATGAACGACAAGCCGGTCGAGATTTGCTGCCAGAGACTCTGGTTCGGAGGTGAAAAAAGGTGGTAAATGAGGCTGGGTAAGCGTCCCCAAGGAAATATAAATTCAGCAAGTTCCCGGTACGCCTTTTCAACATCACCATTAACGATGATTTATCATAAACACCAGGCGAGTCAGCGTACTCAAGCTCAGCTCTAGCCTCAGCTAGCCTCCTCTGAATATCTCCCTCACTCTCCGTCCCTCGATGTCGGGGTCATGCTTCAGGTTCCTCAAAGCTTGGTGGTTTAACAAACACATAGCGCGCATCGATGCTAGTGTCGACCTTCATTTGCTTCGCACCATGCCTATCAATATCCAGCACAACTACCAAGCCTTTAGATGTCTGGTCCGCAATAGTTTGCTTACTAGTGCCATAGAAATGGCCACTGAAGAAGGTATATTCGGCAAAGAATTTCCTAGTGAGAAGAGTAGAAAATTTAGAGGGGGTGATGAAGAAGGTAGGCTCTGCCTTCGACTTCTCGGGGACGCGCGGCTGACGAGTTGTGCGGGAAACGGTCGTAGTAAAGGTGTCGAGGTGTGCCTCGGAGAGCATTTGGATAAGTGTTCCTTTCCCAACGCCCGAAGGACCGGAGATAACAAGCGGCCGCGGATTTTCAAGGTATGGAGCTTTGTTAGGGTTGATTTGAGGTCTAGTTTCTCTCTTGAGAATAAAGAGACATAGTAGGAGACATGTGTGAGGAGAGGGCAAATGGCAAATACCAAGGTGTAGAGGACGACTAAGCCGGCGACATGTGCACGGGCTGCCTAGTGAGGTGTAGTGATATCTAGTGGGACAGGATCATCGCTTTCCACTGGTTGCCACGGCCGGCATTGATTGATCAATTAATGTCTTCGGGCTCGTGTAATATAGTTGCTTGGGATCGACGATCCGTCGGCCTGAATGCTGATGTACGAAGTAGGCAGCAAGTGCGAGTTAAGCTTAACCCAAAGTACCTTCGTGGTGTACACGTTTATTATAAGGACTAATGCGGATTTGTTGCTTCTTGCCATCGTTTGGTTTGGTTCGGCGTCCTAAACTAGTCTCTGGGGTAAGTGCGGGGTACGGGCATTAGCGTCGGGCGGAAGAGGAAGTAGTGTCGTCCAACTCTGAAGAGTCGTCGACGAAGTGATCGCTCATGTGCAGGTTGTGGACAGAACCGCAGGATTCCGTGGGAAAATATTCGAGCTGCTGATCGTTCAAATTACTCTTCAACTGTACCCCAACCTAACTCGTGAACATGAGGTCCATGAGATTATCCGGACGTGTCAGCAACCTGTTGACAAGTTGGGCATCGGGCCCGCTTAGGTTCAGGCAGGATTGCAAGCTGTCTCGGCTCCACTCAACGGTCCCACACCGGCAAGGACCGAGAAGGAATGGGCTTCCCGAGTTCTCACTTCAAGGTCGAGTGGCTATTGTAACTGGAGCCGCCAGGGGTTTGGGTTTGGTCCAGGCTGAAGCTCTCCTCGAAGCCGGCGCAACCGGTAAGCGGGAATGGTTTTAGAACTGTCGAGCAAGCGATGGCGTTTGAGTTTCAAATCCACGAACCTGCCTGCACATGCTGACCAGGTGATGGATCAGTGCATGCCATAGATCGTCTCCCCGAACCTAAGCCCGGCGCTGCCTTCTCCGTTGTGCGCCAGAGGACCCTGGACGAGCACGGGCCTAAACTGCACTACCACCAAGTCGACGTTAGGGATGTCGACCGACTGAACCGCGTTGTCCGGGAGATCGGTTCCCTCCACAATCGGCTGGATGGGCTGATCGCTGCAGCAGGCATACAGCAGGAGACCCCGGCGCTAGAGTACACAGCTCAAGATGCCGACCAGATGTTTAGCGTCAACGTCACGGGCGTGTTTATGACGGCGCAGGCAGTGGCGCGAGAGATGTTGCGGCTAGGACAGGGCGGCAGCCTTGTCCTCATCGCTAGCATGAGTGGCACCGTGGCGAATAGAGGATTGCTCTGCCCGTGAGTTCCTCCCAATCGCACACCGTCCCCCAACAGGAGCAGAAGAAGAGCATTCGGGCAACGAGTTAAATATTGTATGCATAGAGCCTATAACGCATCAAAAGCCGCCGTACTCCAGCTCGGAAGAAATCTGGCAGCGGAATGGGGCCAGCATTCTATTCGGGTCAACACCATCTCCCCAGGATATATCGTGACGGACATGGTGGAAGCGCTGTTTGTGTCACACCCAGAGAGACGGTTGGAGTGGGCTGGACACAACATGCTAGGCCGACTCAGCAGTCCCAACGAGTACCGGGGTGCTGCCGTCTTTCTTCTCAGCGATGCTAGTAGTTTCATGACCGGAAGCGACCTGAGAATTGATGGTGGTCATTGCGCATGGTGATCAGTTTGGGAAGGGGGGGGAATGGTGAGCCAGGGCGCTAAATACGCGTCTGAGATCATATACTATGCTTTCCAACCAATCTCACCATAGAGCATGCGACAGACATCAACGTCGTCCGCGAGCGCTTGGTTGAATTGGGCAAGTCTAGGTAACCACTTTAGTGTTTTGAGAGCGGACTTCGGTTTGAACATAGGTCTTTGCAGCCCCTACCCCATGCTTCGGGGTTTTCGCCAGCTAGTTAGGCGATGTAGACTCCCTTTCGACGTCTACCCTCGGTCGCCGTAGCCGTTGTGCTAGCGCATCCATTTCCCTATTCCTGCTAGGTCGACTAAGACATCACGCACCCAACGAGGATCTCATGGCTCCGGCGGGGAAGGGCAGAGAGGAGTAACCCCAATATCGCAATGTCACTTTCCCGCAGATTCCTTTCGTGCTGGAATGCGATACGCGGCGCGTACGAAAGCCACGGCTCTTTTTCGTCGTCTTGGGTCTAGAGGCGTTCGGCGAGGTCTACACACCCGAGACTTGCCATTGTCTCGGGCTTCAACTTGAAGTGAGCTTCTATCTCTTCTGGTTTAGATCCCTGGCTGCGAGCAGTGAGTATTCTCGAAATCGTGGCGATGTCAAGGAACTCTCGGCCAGGGCCCTTGGCCTGGCGAAAGTGTTCTAATTCAGCCTCCGCCCTCGCTTGGAGGCGCCGTCTGGCCTCGATAGAGACTAGAGTCGGATTCTTCGGTAGGGACGCAGGAAGCGAGTGATCACTCGGCGCACGGCTCGGTTGGCGATCAAGATATGCCGTTGACGAGTGGGAAAATGTTGGGTTCGGCTTGACTACGCCCATCATGTGGAGTCTTTCGGAAAACTGCTTGGAATCTAACGCTTCTAAGTCGAGGCAGAGCCGAACCTGTCAGCACCCACGTCCTCTAAGAAGATGCGGAGTTTCAACGTTTGAATTGGAAATGCCAATTACCGTCTTCTTTTGGACGCGAGGCTTGCGGGCTACGGGTCTTTGGATGGCCCTGTGGAGGAGATCCAAGCTGGGAAGCCATCGGCCGGGCGGGGAATTTCCGAGTCGAGTTTGCAGCAACTTTTGAAGCTGAAGAGCCCATGGTTTAAGGCACGGAGGGTTGCAATTGGATTGGAACTGGGAATCGGTTTTCAGATACCTCTCAGAGGCGGTTTTGCTTTGGGGTGTGAGGAGGGTTGAGTTTGCTTTGGGCCAGAACCTGGAAAAATTATTATTTTGGGAGCTCTCCGAGTACATAGTTATTTTCCTCAGTCCTTCATGAACGAAGGTACTTTGTACTTCGTACCGTTATTCACCCCCAAACCTCGCCCAAAGAGAAAAGAAAGAACCAAAGTAAACGCCTCTTTCTCTCGAATGATGAAGGGCCAATTTCGGCCTGTTTTGCTACTTCGACTTTGTGAAGGTCGATCGGCACCAAATTTACGACGTCCCATATCGCAACCTCATCCATCCCCTGATATGAAGCAATCACTATCAAGTATTACATTAAGAATCAACGGTGAGATGAACCGAGGTACATATTTGATTGGTCTATAAAAGGCTGATGTAGCCGGTAAGCTAGCGGTCCTCTGGCATTTCCTAACGCGACTGGATGCGCCTCGTGGATATTGGTGATCAGGCCGGTCGCGCTTAACCCCATTTCACCGAGAGCAGCTGCTCGAGGTCCTGCTACACGTACACGCACACGCACAAAACGGATGTCGAGCTTTAAAACGGCCTGGGCTTAATCGCACGACTTAAAGAGTGAACTCGGCGCGTCGTCACCTGCACCCTGAGAAGCGTGCGCGTCTTGTTGTAATTCCTGCGAGAAACTGGCCAGGACGATCACACTCCGTTCCTCCTCAGAGCTACGCTACACCCCTCCAACCGCAGGTCAATCCGTAGGCTCTTCCCCCGGCGATTCCGCCGGGGGAATGGAATGACTGCTGGGCCGATCCATTAGCTCATCCACCGGCGCGATATCTGTAGATTTGGGCCCGCTCGCAACATCACTCTCCATTGAGGTAATTTGATCCCATGGGTGGCTGTAGGGGTCAGGGTCAGAGGAGCTTGTCTCATCCGCGATATCATAGTCTCCATCGAGATAATTGGTTCCGCCCGAAGCAGCACCGACCATGGGCGGCATAGCCGCAGCACGGCTGGAACAGATATCAGAGTTCCGTGAAGTCGACGGTCCAGCCGCCCATGCCTCCATGCTGGTGCGTTGACCGTCAGGGGAGGTGGCGACTTCGGACTGAGTCGGAAGTATTGGCCGAGAAAAGTCAAACGGAGCCTGCTCTTCCTCGCGTGTGGCCGCGGGCGTAGGTAGAGACACCGGGTTGAGATGGACATTGAGCTGACTCCTGGCAGCTCTCCTTAAACTAGGCTTCTTGGGAAGGGTAGAAGCCACATGGGCGCTCCAACGCAGCATCTCTAAACGTTCCTCTTCCTCGGTTTCGTCATCTGTGACATCGGTATCTTGCAGCATCCTCCGGTGGCGTGCAAGTAGCTGAACGCTGCTTCCAGAGCCGCGGCGCTGGCCACATCTTGTCGTACTGGGAATGGGTTGCCGGTCCTTTTCCTTGTTCCGAGGCGCCCCGGCCTGCTCGCCAGCTGGCGTATCCGGCCACGGTTGTTGAACGGGACCGACGGCTAACCGCCGCAAATCCACCTGGCTTTCGGAAAATACGACACGGGCCCGGAGAGCATGCACTGCCCTATCAAGCGTGAGCTCTATGGCGCATCGATCCCGTATCCGGCTCATCTTGGGCCAAGTGGCCCGCTCACCAGCGAGACAACACCGCAGCATGAACTCGCTGTTGGGGTTAGAAAGTATCCTCGGCAGATCCTGAATGGCAATTTCGGGCAGGATATTTATGTCACCGGAGTATTTCTGGCTCAGGATGCTCCGAAGCTTGGTGACGAGATTTGGGAAAATGCCAAGCTCGGCCAGAAACTGCATGCGGTGGAGTGCCTCGTCTTTCGCTAACGAGGTTACTACGTACAGCCAATCAGGTCCTCTTCCGCCGGCCTTTAAATCCTCTATACGGTCTCTCTCTTCTGTCGGGATGAGGTGATCATCCTTGGCAAGGAATGGAACCACGTGTGGGTTCACCTGGGAGACTATAAAGTGGTTGACGTTGAACATCTCCGCTAGCCTGGCCATGGGGAGGTCGTTATCCACAGATCCATCGATCCAGCGTTGAGGACTCGGGTTCCATGGCGCATGTTCGCCAGTTACCGGGTCCTTAACAAGCAGAGAGGCGGCAGTAAAGACGAATGGCACAGAACAGGAGGCCGCAACTGCTGACCATATCATGACGTTTGGTGCGGTGACATAGTTGAGTAGACGGGGTAGTTCGTAGACGGACTCTGTCGAGACGGTGATATTCAGGATGCGACGGGTGCGATTATAAGCCTCCTGGAAAGTGAGGTCTCCAAGCAGCCCACGCATGACTCTTGTCAGATTCTTAATATCGGACCAACTACCCTCTGTAAGCAGCCGCCGGAGGTGCAAGAGCATATTATCCTGAACGCCAACGGCTTCAAATACATCAAGGTCGCCGTATGGGAACTCCTCTAAGATGGTGGGAATTTCCTCATCGGTATGCGTGCAGAGGACGGCGCAGACAATGGAGCCGGCAGAGGCGCCCGAAACGATACGCGGTAGCAGGTCGGCGTTGAAGAGGGCCTTTAAAACCCCGATATGCATCATGCCGAAAGTAGCGCCGCCACTAAGGAGGAGGGCGCTCCTTCCAAAACTCTGCCGAGCAAAGAGTAGGCCGTCGAGGATATCCCTGGAGCTCATGCTGTCCGGCAGCGACAAGGCGCTCTCGCGGACGAGAGACTCTACCGTCTGAATCGCAGAGTCGACATAACGCTCAATAAGGCGTTTGGTACCAATGTGCGAGTGGCGGTAGAGGCCGACGCCACCCATACCGCCAAGGTCTCTCGACAGCGCGGTACGAATGAGATATAGCATGGCGCGAATATCACGGCTGGATCGAGCAGAATCGAGGTCGTTTAGCCGTGACTCTACCAAGGCTATGTTAAGTCCGCTTGTCGACGGTTCGTCTTTCCATCGGTCATTGCCCTCTAATACATCGAGTTCTTGGGCCGCCGTTTCCCACTCCTCCAACGTCGTGGCCTATGGAGAATAGGGAAAAATGATCAGTGAGCCAGAGTTCCAGTAAGCGGATACAGGATAAGGAAGGCGACGAGATTCGAGAACAAGAGCTATGGGAATTTGGGACGTCATAGACGGAACAAGGGACATGCCGTTACCATTTTCATGCGCAGCGAGAGGGTCTGCTTGCGCTCTCGGACGACTCTCCTCCGCTCCCTCTCCGCGGGTCTAGGCTTACCCCAGAGGGATAGCGCAAGGTGGTTGGCATCTCGAAGGGCACGGGAAAGAGCGTTTACCGCCGAATTTCTCGGGCTCTTCTTTCTTGGATGGGCGAGAGACTTCTCGCTCGAGACGACTGGCTGCAGGGTGGACGCAGTTTCTCTGAAAGGAATGATACCTAGCAAGAGGCTACTCATCGCGGATAGTGTCCTCGTCGATTAACTAGAGGTGCGTGGGCGGGGAAGCCGGTCAGCGACCGAGGCCCTTCGAGCAAAGTCGACGATGACCGTAGTCAGCGAGCATGGAATGCTTGCATCTAGACACGTGAGATCGAAGGGTACGAGGGTAGCGTAGAACCGGGGTAGACCGAGAGTATCGGAATACTGTCGGCACTGAGAAGACAGGTGGTTCGAGCCTGGCCTGGCAACTGGCGATGATCTGGAATTGCAGCTTTATTTTTATTTTTTTTTCATTTTTTTTTCCTCGACCGAGGCTTTTCAAAAGGGGGTGCGCAGGGCACGACGAGACGAGTACTCCTCGAGACGGATGGACGAAATAAATTAGGGTGTGTTCGAATATCGGCATCAAATTGGGGGCGAAATATGGCATGTGTGAAAACAGTGATTATTGAAGAACCGAAATTTCCTCCGTTTCCAGCCCCTAATTACCTTCCTTAAATAGCCACCAGTTTCCACTTAGTTTCCGCCTGAAATATTAGGTTCCATTTTTACATGTAGGCCAACACACCCCCTTAGCTATCATGACAAGTCATGATAGCTACAACTTCTAATTCCCACTTGACGATGTTTCGATTATTTCATAGAATAGCCTATTCTTCTAGCCTCTCTTTTTAAGGGCTAGAGGGGGGTATATAATAGTAGGCCCTATATACTATAGTTTTCTATATAAATAAGAGTTCCTAAGACTATGCTTTTCTAAATATCTTAGTATCTTAAAAATAAAAAAGTCCTTGATTTATCCTATTCTAAATATCTATAGATCCTAATATATTAGGATTTCTATAAAAGTTAATTATTCTAGGTTTTTATAAATATTTCTAGCTAATTAGGTAATATCTAATATCTTAATTTAATAGATAAAGGCTTAAAACTTCTATAAAAGTAGAGCTTTAGTAAAACTATTAATAACTATTTCCTTTAAGCTTATATAGTCTATATCTACTTTCTTATTTTTCTATTCCTACTTTAACTAGTAGTTATAGATATCTATATATTATAGCTTTATCTATAAGTTTACTTCTAAGTTTATAATAAGCTTAATAATTTAGGTATTATTATATTTTAAAAGAATTTAGTAATTATTAAGTATAATAGATAGTTCCTTTAAGATTTATTAAGTAAAAATAGCTTTCTTAGCTACTTAGGAGAGGGCTAGAAGTTCTACTTCTATAATTAAAGTAATTATAATATCCTATTTTATAGTTTTCTAATTAATAAGCCCTCTAAATAAAACTATAATATATACTTAAAAACTTTTCTAATTAAAGCTATTATTAGTAAAGGAAATATTACTATAAGTAATAAAGTAATTTCTATTTCCTAAAATTAAAGCTAATAATTTTATATTCTTAAGATATTAAAGTATTTAATTTACTATTTTATAATATACTAGACTAGGATTCTTTATAAACCTAGTAGCTCTTAATATTATAAATATTATATCTAGCTTTATAGTTATAGCTATATATAAGATAAAGCTTATCTTCTTCTAATATTAGTTAATTAAAATAAAAGTTATTATTTTATTTTAAGAAAATAATTTCTTAGTTCTTATAGGAATTTTATAGATAAAAGTTATTTTTATTAGCTTACTAATCTTTTTATAATATAATTTCTAATTTAGATAAATTCTCTTTTTCTTTTTATTATAAATAATTTTAATTTTAAAAAATTATTAAAGATCTTCTTCTTTTATAAGCTTATAATATCCTTATAACTATTTTATTAGCTTATAAGCCTCCTCTTTATCTTCTTTCCTATATATAAAACTAATATTATCTATATAGAAAAAGATAATTACTTCTTTTCTAATTAAATAATATAGCTTATAAATTATAAATTTAAAACCTATTAATATCAAAATACTTTTCAACTCTTTATACTATAATAATAATAATTATTTTAAATTTATAATCTATAAGCTATATTATCTAATTAGATAATATTAGTTTAAGATTAAATTAAGTAGTAATAGCTATAATAGTTTAAAATAACCTTACTATAAATATAATAATATAAGTATTATCCTTATATTTTATTTACTAGTCTCCTTTAATAATTAAATAAGCTTTAAACTTCTAAAGTTAATAGTATTTATTAAATTTATATATATATATTTATATATAGTCTAATATCTAATAGTCCTTAGTATTCTAAATATCTTCTTTCTATTAGGATTTTATTTTTCTATAGCTTTATAAATATACTTTCTTAGCTTCCTTAAACTAAAAGCTAAAAAGATAGTATATAAGTTTATAATAGTACTTTAAAAATTTAAGTAGTTAGCTTTTATATAGAGCTTTAAGGTTCTTATTATTTTAAGCTAATTATTATATTTAAGTTTAATTAACTACTTTATTTTCTAAAAGCTTCCTATTTTTAGCTAGCTTTCTAGTAGTAAAGGTAGCTTTCTATAACTAAAATAAAATTATCTTAACTATTAGAGGCTTTAAGAATTATTTTAAGATTATAGTAAAAAGAGAAGATAGTTTTTATAAGAAAGAATCTAGAAAAGTTAAAAGAAATATTTAGTATTAGATTTCCTATTTTAGTTCCTTTTTAAAGTTAATTTCCTTTTCCTTAGTTATTCCTTTTTTATTTTCTTAATCTTTTTCTTTAAATATTAAATTAAACTTATATTTAAGCTTATATAATATACTAATATTAAAGATTTTTTTATCTTTTTCCTCTTTTAAGATCTAATACTAGTTAAGGAGAGTATTATAGTTAGGTAATAGTATTAGTTCTTATTTTTTAATAGCTTCTTTTCCTAGATAAAGCTTATCTTTATTAAAAATAATATCTTTAATATTAATAATCTTATTAGTAACTAAGTTTTATATCTAGTAGATATTAAAAGAATTATATTCTATAAGATAATTAATCTATATCTTTAAATTTAGATATTTTAGTTTATTCTATTTCTATATTATTTTTATAATTAAAGTAAAAGCTTTATATTTATAAGCTTTTAAATATAATTAATTAGGTAGTTTTAATAAAGTTAGAAAGCTTCTTTTCTTTATTATAGTAATTTAAAATACTTTAATTAAAGACTTTTATTTTTTAACTTACTTAGGAGTTTTATTAAGTAGATAGATACTAGCTTTTAAGATTTCTAGTTATAGTATATTAGGAAGTTTAATATAGATTATATTATCTTTTTTATTTTTAATTTAGACTACTTATATTATAATTTTAATCTTTTCTTTTACTATATTTTCTAAGTACTCTACTAAGCTATTTTATTTTTAGGTATATAGAGTAGAGAATTTAACTATAATATAGTAAACTATTTTAAAATAGAGCTTTACTTCTAGTACTTTAACTTCTAGTTTTCTATTATATTTTATATAAGTAGTTTTTAAGTTATATAGCTTATTAATTATATCTAAGAAGTAGTTAAGGGTAAAAATAATAGTTAAAATAATTTAGTTTAGAAGATAATAATTTTATATTATTCTAAAATAGATATTTATTAGTAATATAAGGCTTTTTATTTCTCTATAATCCTTTTTAAAGTTATAGAAATTTAAAACTATCTTTTTATATAAACTTAAATATTCTCTATTTTTTAAAATTCTTCTAATTTTATATTTTATCTTACTTAGCCTATATTAATTATACTTAATAGTAGTTAAGCTTTTTATTATTACTTTTATAGAAGTATTTATAAGATATTTAAGAGTTTTTAGTCCTAGGTAACTAAGTTTAAGGTATTATTTTATATTTTTAGCTTTTAATAATAATAGATAACTTTAAATAGCTTTATTAAATTTATTTTAGTAAATATAGAAAACTATTCTATCTATTTTAATAAAGATATATTCTAGTATATATTAGCTTTCTATATCTACTATAAAGTAGAAAATAGACTTATCTATTTACTATATAATATTATAGATACCTAGCTTATAGTCTTAGATATATCTAACTTAGTAAAGCCTTTTTAGTAAAATAAAGTTAATAGTAATAGCTTTTATATAAGCTATATCTTTAAAGGTTAAAATAATAGATTATAATTAATATTAGAGTTTAATTTTAACTTTATTATAGTTAAGAATTAGGAGCTACTTACTTCCTACTAATATAAAGTTATTATAGGCAGGCTTAAAGTTATAAAATCAACTAAATTAATTAAAGATATAGATATTAGATCTAGAGTTAAGTATAGTAAAGTTTTTTAGAAAGTAGTTAGAGATTAAGAAAAAAGCTATTTCTACTATATAGAATATAGCTTTAATATAAATAGTTATTAATAATTAGTTTTTATCTTATTCTTTTTAAAACTTAATTCTTTTTTTATTATTTTATTTTTAAAACTTTTCTATTTTCTTAGCTTAATTAAAATTATTAGCTAGTAGCTTTTTAATCTACTATTTCTTCTTCTTTATTATTATTTATTTCTTTAGAGGTTTTTTAATAATATAGAAATACTTTTACTAAAAATATTTAAAGAGCTAATAAACTTAGTAAATATTAAAATATACTCTTTCTCTTTTTCCTACTTTCTTTAGTAAAGTAGCCTTATTTTTAAGCTTAAAGTTATTAGTAATACTATTAAAGTATTTATTTTCTTTTTTATAGAAAATTAAGCTAAAGGCTTCTTTAGTAATTCTTTTTATTTAAGCTTCTACTATCTTTCCTTTTATATAGAAATTAAGAGCTCTTACTATTTTTTAATAGGTAAAAGTATTATCTTTAATTTCCTTCTAATAGATTAACTTATAACTTAAAACCTAGTTTTTAATAAAGCTATTAACTACTAATATAAAATATAAGAACTAGTAGTAGGCCTTAATAGTTTCTAGTAGCTTAAGTTATTTTCCTTTTATTATAACTTTTTACTATTAAGTAAGCTATATCTTCTAGTTTTTTAGTATTTTAGTTAAATAGCTAACTACTTTAAAGTAGTTATTAATAGTTATTATAATTTCTTTAAGTTTAGTAATATTAATAGCTTCTTTTAAATTTTTAAACTAGTTTTAGATTAGAGCTTAAATATAGTAGATATTAAAAAAGAAAATAGAAAGTATCTTCTAGATTTTTTTCTTTATTTTCTTTAGTTTTTTTTCTTATTTTTTAAATTTAGTTAGTTAGAATTTATAGTTTAAGTAATAGAACTTTTATTATTTTAAGCTTTCTTTAGATAGCCTAGAATTCCTTAGTTATAGTATTATTCTAGTTATTATTACTTTAGGAGTATAGGGATAATTATTAATAAAGGTTTTCTTTCTAGGAGGAGTTAGCTTTTTAATTAGTTTTTCTCCCTTAAGAATAACTTTCCTAATACTATTATTAAAAAATAAGCTTTTAAATTAGTTTTTCTAACTTTCCTAGTTATCTTAACTTTTAAAGATAATAATAATTATTTAGTTTAATAGGTTTAATAAGATATTATTAGCTATAGTTAGTAGATTTAGTATAATAAGTATAGTTATTGAGGGTAAAGGTTTTCTTTTCTTAAAAGAAGAAGCTTTCTTTAGCTAAAGCTAGATATATATATAGATATATAGAATATCTTAAGCTGGATTATACTTAGTCTCAGTCTGAGGTTTGTTTTATAGTTTGATAGTTATTTTAGGTCCTTTTCTAGGAAGTCTGATCTTCTTAGATACCTTTTTAGATATTTTGATATCTCTTTTCTATAGTATTTTTTATATAAAAGTGGTTAGCAAGTGTTTAGGGTATAGGAAAGGAATGAGATTTTTAATTGTTTGAATATTGGTATCAAATTGGGGGCGAAATATGGTATATGTGAAAATAGTGATTATTGAAGAACTGAAATTTCCTCTGTTTCCAGCCCCTAATTACCTTCCTTAAATAGCCACCGGTTTCCACTTAGTTTCTGCCTGAAATATTAGGTTCCATTTTTACATGTGGGCTAACAGGGTGTAGCTAATCGAGATCTATGAAGTACTAATTGCTTGTGGCGTACAAAAGGTACGAAGGTATGAGTCGTGCACCGAGGTACCCGTGTACATGATATTAATTGGTTTGATTTCATTGATCGATCTGCGAACCCCGCCCCCACATCGCTGGTCACGGCTTCTTCGATTGCCCATCCGGGGCAGTCATGTGGAGAACCTGGGGTCGGTACTTTATCCACTCCGTCCATTCTGATACGAAATCGTGCGTTCCATTGTCATAACACTTCTCCAACTGTGGGCTGCGACTCGTGAGAATGGAGTCTCAAAAGGCCAATTAGTTTATAACAGATTTGATAACTAAATTCATGTAAACTTACTGAGGAGTATGCTTCAGAAGCGACCTCGGTACTTTTAGAGTCCGTTTGCTCTGATACCCTCAATCCTTCTGATTCCACTCGTACGCTTGTGTAGTCTCGTGCACCCGGAGAGAGAGGGATTGGCCGTCCATGAAATTTCGGCATGGCAATTGTCTCACTTCTGTCCTGGCCCGAGAAGGAGTGCGATGTGCGTGCATTGACTTGGATTTGTTGTGCCTGACAATTCGATATGTCCAACAGCATCTTTGAACCACTTCATCCAGCCCTCTGGTTCCGCAGTTGCTACACCCGAGACATCCGATTACCCAGGCTTGTTTAATGTATCAATATCATATGGGGCATGTTACCGCCCAGACTTTCCGACTCGAAGAACTATTTCGAATCAAAAGTGCTCTTTGAAAGGGTCAAAAAGTAGGGACTCGGAACATGGTTGATGTGTGCGAGGCTTATTATGACACATAGGACATCAATCTATGCGGCTGCCCATACCCTAATATGTACTCGATGGAACGAATGAACGAAGACGCATTCTATCTCGCAACTATTCTAGGCGGCATGTGTTGCCGATTGCTGTGCCTGTTCTCCTTTCTATTGTGCTCAATGAACTTACTCATGGACTTCATCCCCCATAGCTAGCCCGTAGATGCCTAGCTTTTCCGAATCATAATCGCCACAATCCAGCCTACCCCTCGGAAAAAAAAAACACATCCTTCACGCCCTCGAAATAGCCAGTTACGATTGTAGTTTATAGGACGGGGTGACCATGAGCGCCTCCTCTGTTAAGCAACGACACCAGTACCAGCCTTGGATTCCAGAAACGAGCAGACACATGATGCGGAATCAGTGCTTTGATTAGGCAGTCAGCTTATGTGGCTAAGAACATACTTGCAAAAGACTATCGATGAGAAAGCTGTTTACACATACCTGTATGCGTACGGAATGGTCAGCGATCCCGCCTGAGTAATGCTGGTATCGCTGTTGGTGAAAATGTTGTTTCTGGACACGGCGAAGCCATCTTTCTGGCTGTCAAGGTTCGTCACAATTGCTCGACGAGTGTCCGTGAAGCTAGTCTCCTCAACAAGCACTTGGGCTCCCATCCGCGAGTTGATGCCGGAGCTCGGGTTCCCCACGTAGCAGCTGCTATAAATGTGAGCCGTTCCGAACCGTACGCTAGGCAAACGGCTGTTCACATTGGTCCAGTGGTTGTGGTGAAAGGTCACTCTAAGATGGCCTGTATCTTCATCGGCGTTGTTGTCCGAGTGGCCGATAAGGCTTCCTTTCCAGTGGTCATGAAACTTGCTCCAGCTGACCGTCACAAAATCAGACGCATGTGTAATGTCCAACAGGCCGTCGTAAGTGTCCTTGTCCCCGGCAATGCCCTCGGAGGAGAATTCACAGTGGTCGACCCAAACCTGTGTAGCATTGTCTAGAGAAAGCAGGTCACCCTTCTTGGGAGCCTTGTGAAATTTTAAATTTCGCACAATGACGTTGTTGATCTTCTTGATGCGGAAACCACCATCGATAAGGCCTAGTATTTGTGATTCGATAGGGGGTTAGAAAGTGCCTCGCAAGATAGATTTTTCGACCCGAGGGTGAGAAAGCTATGGATCGGCTGGTGCTGCATACCGGAGTTTTCACCAACACCAATGACGGTGGTATCGCTCTTAAGATCAATGATGCCACAGCCTGATAATGTCCCCGAGATCTTAATTACACCACCCGCTTTAACAGCCGACTCTAAGGTCGAGCACGAGGTCGCCGTAATTCCTTCTCCATCACCACCTCCAGTAGTGCCCGCAGCGTAACCGACAAGTTCGTCGATAGCGGTGCCACATGATTGCCTCGTTGAAAGCGCGGGCGTATTGTTCTGGATGGGAATACGGGCATAATTCAAAGAGGCACCTGAAGCAAGGGCGAAAATGGAACTAAGGAGGACGAGACTGAGGCCGCTTGACATATACATCGTGGCTTTGGCTAGTTTGTTAAAGGAGAGAATGTCAGAAGGCAAGAAGAGAGAATAGACGATATAATAACAGTAATGACAGACCTTCACCTAATGAAAAGAAAAGAAGACTAAATTTTTGGGCGTTGGGGTGAAGATCGTGCCATATATCGCATAATATCCAGCAATCAGGATGAAGTCTCTCGATCCCGCAGACTCCGGAGGAGCCACATGGTAAGGAGATCGCCCGAGTAAGTAGGATAACGGGCAGGGGTTGACGATCCGCCTTTCATCTGAAAAGAAGAATCTGCAAGGGAGATCCCTGGGCCGTCTTTCCACCTCCTGCCATCAAGCATGGTGTTTGGTACGGTAGAATAGGAATAGTAATTGCCTTCACGTGTGGTCTCATCTCGGATCAGAACGCACAAACCACACCGGCAGTTCAGAAGCGGGCCAATGAAGTTCTTAGTCGCTCGAAGATTCCACTCTGTTTAAATATCAAGTGTCTAATATAATATTCATATGTCTTAGAAGATAACCTGTCAGAGCAATGACAGGCCTAGGGATGGTACGCACACCGGAAGACAAAATTCCAAGTTCCATTTGTTTGTGGGAGGGGAGTGGAGGGAATTCTAATGGCTAGGGGCTGCCGTAACCCTATAGCCCCTGTGAAAATAAAACGGTTGCTATTGTTATGAAACATTTGTGGATCTCTGGATGGCTGCTAAAGAGGATTAACGGGACTCTGGGGTGACACCGCCTGGGAGACATGGCCTTAGCTATCGTGTGATACGATTTTGATCATTGTCCCAACTTGCGAAGCAATAGCCCTTATCCTCCCACTTCGGCCGATGGCCCAGCGCCAAGAAGGGGTGAGAGGGGGAGTGCGAAAGGGATGCTCGTCAAGGTAGCGTTTTCAGATGAGCCACGCAGTCGTCGCCGGTCTTTCTTTCCTCCCGAGAAGGCGTCCGATGCGGTCTGCCAGTGAAACCACCCTCCAAGCGGCGTAGCGAAACAGAAGCTGGTTTGCACACTTGGGAAAGCGTGCTCAATCCCACAGCCGGATTTGGCCGTCGTGACCACCAGTAAACACCTTGCTGGTCTCCTGCTGCGACCACTGAACGCAAGTAAGTGCTTCCGTCCCTGCCTTCATTTTATGGAGCATCTTGCAAGTTTTCCAATCCCACACTACCAAGTACCCCGCCGAATCGCCGCTTGCGAGGAACTGCCCATCGGGGCTGACGGAGACGTCGATCGCAGTCCCCGCGGTATGGTGGCCTCTGAAAAATTTCTTCCGGCTCTGGCGAATCTTCTCCCCGGTCGAATAGACAAGAGCCTCATTATTGGAGCTCTGGTAGATTGCATATTTACCGTTGGGATGGAGGGTGCTTCGCGTAAGCGGGAAGCTGTCCACTTCTGGCATGATGTACTTGACTGGTACAGGAATGCTCCAGTCCCAGGCCCTCACCGATTTATCATCGGATGTAGAGAGGAACCGTCCACCCTCCTCGATAAACTCCAGCGTATTTACTGCGGCGAGGTGATGATTATAGTCCTGGACAATGTCGTTGCCAGTCCTCACGTCAAACTGCAGGATTTGACCCGAGGACATGCCCGCGAGGAATTCGTTCCTATGCTCTGCGCTATCATTGTTGAACTTGATGACATGCGGGGTCTTCCCTGTCGTGAACTTGGAAATACACTTCCCCGTTTCCGTATCCCACAGCTTTATCATCCTATCCCAAGAAGAGGAGATAAACTTGGTGCCATCGTAATTAAAGCATAGGTCCGATAGAGCCTTCGTATGGCCCGAATACGACCGCAAAAGCTCCCTGTCGTGATAGCAGTCCCAAATCTTGATGGACGCATCGGCGGATCCAGAAAGTAAGAGATGACTGGACCTTGGAAAGAGTCGTAGGACAGTGATGGCTTTGGTGTGGTTCTTCCAGGCATATATCTGCCTTTTTGGAACGTAATTGGTGATGCTGCCGGGTTCCTTCTGCAGGTCGACATCGAGGTCCTGTGGGATGTGCATGTACGTCCTCCCTTGGTAGTCGAACTCTTGCGAGCCGTGGAAGATGGTTGTCTCATCGCCTAACTCAGCAACTTCTTTCCTCCTAGCGAGGGATTCTGCAGGCGCCCTGAGCACCGTCCCGCTCTCGATTATGTCCCCCTCCTCTTCCTCGACAATCTCGTATTCTTCGTCGCTCGCGAGCGGCTCGTCCTCGCCGACAACTTCGAAGTCATCTTTCTTGTACCGGGCCCATGGCCCCACGTAGCTATTCGGGCCCTCGACAACGGTTGCGTTCCCTTTGCTTTCGCGGGTCGACCGTAACCGCGCGTTTGCCTGTTTGATGTCCTCACCGGTGAGGTAGGACCGCTGAGGGCCTCCCTTCCGCTCAACAGCCTGATGCTTCGAACGAAATGTATGTTCGCTGAGATATGTTTCTGATGCGGTGCCCGTAAGAACATTTTTCTTCCTTTTTAGAGGGTTCGTCTGCGACGTAGTAAATGGGTTCTGGGGCCCGAGCATGGGCTGTGAGAGATGATCGCCTGAATATGCGTCGACCGCGTGGGAGGGACCAACGTCTTGCCGCGCTATCAACGCATCCCTTGGGGCCATATTGGCCGGGTACTCGGAAAGATCCGACATCTCTCGTGAGAATCGTGGGTCGCGTTTTCAGGGAGTCGTTGTCACACGGAGTGTCTGACAAATATATTGCTCTTCTTTGGTTAAAGGATAGCTTTGGAGAGTAGGTGTCAAAGCTTGAATAAATATGCAGCTGCGATGGCAAACTCGTTAAAAATGCTGCAGCAGGAACTGTTCGATACAGAGGGGGATTTCAGGGTTTCCCCCATAGAGAACGGTTCCACAAACGAATTAGCGGTTCGGGAGAGGTTCGGCTAAACAGAAAACGAGCGTGTCGTTACCATACCGAGCAAAGAAATCGCCAGTTTGGCTTGGGTTTGATGGGATTGGTTTGTTGATTTGATAGTGTGTCCAATCAATTAATCTTGAAGGTCCAAAACGCTACCTAAGAATCCTCCGTTTCTGCTGCGGTCAAGAGCAACCTCCTGAACTTTCATTGATCCCTTTCCACTGACTTCAATTCTTGGCCTTGGGAAGCATGGTGACGCAACTCCCCTGTCAAAGGGTAGGTTTATTATACCTTTGTATGCTGGAAGCTTCTCCAAGGACAGCTCGACAATAATGCATTATGTGTCAACAAGCACACACACCGTCCGTGATGGTGCGATAAGCATACAGGGATGCCTTACAAGATCGTAACACACATCTCGAAAAAGCGTCGTTATCGTAGCTTCTCTTCAGGCTACCTTTAAATAAGCAGTACCGCACTCCAAGCTCCAACATGCATTCCGGCTCGTTTGTACCGGGCTCCAGAGGTTCAGCTTTTGCTCTACGGCGCAAAAAGATCCCAAAGCCCCTCAGTAGAAATTTGCATTAGACATTGAGGAGGGAAAGGACGAGAAAAAAAAAAAAGTCGGCAATAGCGCCAGAACAAGTCGCAAGCCAACAGAATCTCACTAAACATAAACCGACCCCGACCCGTAACCGTTCGTGAAGTCATGCTAGACAAAATACAGTATTCTAACCCATACCCATCATTCTCCCGGAAAACTCGACCAAAAAGGGCTGTAGGAGAACAACCGCACCTAGTTCCTGCCCAGATTACCATGGAAAATGGTCTGGTTGGCAACTAAAGGCTTGCCAGGGGCCAGACACATCTCCAATTGTGAGACGTCCATGGCATCATCGCTTAGCTGGCCTCATCCTTAATCAGGGCAACAATCATGCTGTAGAGGTAGAAGAAGAACATGACGAGGTGAAACGCGAGCTTGGCAAACGACTCCTAGAAAGATGAGAAACGAGATTTAGCAAATGGGCAGCTTTGTTCATTCGGGAACATCGGAACAGTCGCACCTTTTTGTGGATGTTAAGCTTTCGGAAAATCTCCGTCGCGTCGAGAAGATGGGTGTTTTCCACAATCCTGAGCACGCACATTTGATTAGAGCCACATGAAGTCGAACGTAACTAGGGTTCTCGGGAGCATACTTCTTCGCATTCCATGCCACGAGCGGTAAGTTGAGGATAAGCGGCAACCAGTATCCGTTGATGAGGAAGAGGAAGGTGAGGAAAACATGCACGGCCGCCTCGGGAATGATGTACGTGTTTAAGCGGTTGCAGAGATCGATCGGGTTGATATAGTCACTGAAAAAAAGGAGTGAGCAACCTTGTCGCGAGACGAGAGAACAATAATGCCAGTAGATTGGCACCAGCATGCATAATAGATGAAACCATCTATCTCAGCATTTCCACTCACCATTCCAGATCACTATACATGATAGTGAAGAACACCTGAAGAAACAGGTTGACGGCATTTATCAAGACCGCCAGGAGATACAGCCACGCCTCGCCCGACATATTTGCAGAATATCTGGAGGGTGAAAATAGAAAGACTTGGTTCGTTCTGGATTCGGCTCGAGATACGAGAAGAAAAATAAAAGGCCAGGTCACACGTGGACGTGGACTTTGATACGTTGTTGGTCGGTTGCGCGAGTGTAGTGGTAACAGGAGTCTTGGGAGCTCGCGCAAGTTTTTTCCGTGCTCCGTCGTGTTTCCTGATCTGTGGTGCGGTTACTACCCCAAATAACCAAATTACCTGGTACGAGTCGAGGGAGCAAGGCACAGGCGCAGAAGTCGAAAGGTACGCTTAGGAAAGGAGAAATAGGGGAAAGTATCGAGCAATAATTTGTCGGGGAGCAGGTTGGGCTTGAGGAGTGGTTGCGCGGAGCCGCAAGTAAGAAGGTTGGGAAAAGTCGAGTGGCAGGATAGTGAACAATGATGCAAGGCCGAGGTGCTTGCGACGGGATCAGGAATTCAGAGGTGGTGATGTATTGTTGGGTGCTGACATCAACCAACGCTGTACCTTCGTACCGAGGGGATGCTTCGTCAATACTTTGTATATTAATTCGTACGGAGTAATAGGGTCCAAAAGACGCAATTTGGACCGTTCAAACGAAATGACAGCCTTCGAAGTAGGGCTCTGGAGGGTTGAGGCGATGAGAATAGTGGACTGAGGCATAGAGAGAGTACGCCACAGCTACGAAGTACTCCGTCCATTGATAGCCAGGCATGAATCCGACACTGTAAGCACAGGCCACGAAGTACGAAGGCTCGCCCGTTCCACCGAGCTTCTTGAATTGATAGTTTAGTTTAGCGTCAAGATTGGGGGCGTAACCTTTGCATTCAAGTAGAATTTTGACTTCCTCCTCGAATTCGGCGGCGACAATTACCTACAGTATACTTCGTACCTGTGTACATAATACAAAGTAGTCTGGTTACGATAATATTACATGTTGCTTTGGTGCAAACGCATATCCGAGTCTCGATCGAAAGGGGAATATAACTTCGTTGAGGAATTGATCAAGGAATTGATCAACAGCTTCAAATCCTTTGCTTTCTCCTCCTATTTCTTCCTTTTCTATTTCTTCCTTTTCTCTTTCCTTTTTTCTTACTAAATTTTTTCCGAAATGCCAACAGGCGACCCGACCGACATGAGGCGGTTGCAAGACTATAATCGACGGTCGAGGACAAATTTGAATATTACGAAGTTCCCGAGAACACCAAGGCTAGCTTAATAGCAAAATATGAATATTTATTTTACACCAGCTGGGTGGTATCTTCTTTTGCTGCCCTATTCATAATGCCGCGATCATTTGCGATCGTTCGTCTCTCGCGCCTCGGCGGGCATCGAAACCGGCCCCCCTGGGGAGTCTGGCATCCTTGCCGTTAATATTTCCACGCCAGTCTCGGTGACGAGGAGAGTGTGTTCTGTTCGGCGAACGGATCATGTTAGTCAAAACATTCAACGCATCGCTCTTCCCACGATACACCTATATAGGAACACGACAAGAACTTACCAAACTGTGCGGTTCTCTTGCCGTCTATCGTTGTGCTCGTCCAGTTATCTGGCCAGGTGACATCACGATACGACCCTAGCGCAATCATGGGCTCGATGGTGAAAGTCATACCTGGCTTCGCTTCGCCAGGAGTCTTGTTTTTTGCATAATGTGGGATGTTGGGAGCGCAGTGGAAGAGCCGATTGATGCCGTGACCGCAGTAGGACCGGATGGTACTGCAGCCCTTTGACTTGGCATACTTCTCGATAATGTTACCAAACTCCCTAAATGGGACGCCCGGCTTCACAGCCTTGATGGCGAGATCGAGACATTCGCGTGCCGTTTCCACTACCCTCACGGAGTCCGGATCCGCCTTAGCCTTGTCGCCAACGTAGTACGTCTCGTTCAGGTCGCCGTGAAAACCCTCGTGATAGAGGGTGACGTCGATGTTGAGGATATCTCCGTCTAGCAGGACGCGCTGATCGGGTATGCCATGACAGATGACTTCGTTTGGTGATGTGCAGACAGACTTGGGAAAGTGGTTATAGTTGAGTGGTGATGGATATGACTGCAGCACGGTTGGGTCAGTATCAGCGTGAGGATGTCCCTGAAGTGATAATTCAATGCGGATCCATGGCTCGCAGGGCGAAACAGAAAACCCTTCGCCTCCAAAGCCCAGCCAAGAGGCCGGGTGAATGAGAGCCGAAAAGGTAAAGAAAAAAAATTCCTCTACGGGTTCCGCTTATCCATGTCCTTCCTCCATTCTCCACTTACTTTTCTCTCTATGCAAGCCTTGTGGACAATCTCGTCTATGTAGTCGGTGGTGACTCCGGGGCGGATAGCGGCAGCGGCGATGTCGAGAACTTCACGCGCGAGGCGGCAGACCTTGCGCATGCTGTCTTGGGCTTTGGCGTCGAGTATCTCGATCTTATTCCGGCCAGGCATGGCTCGGTACTTGGGGACACCATCTTCGGACCATTCGGGGTGTCGTATGCTCTTGGGGATGACACGCTTAGGCGAGAGGGGATAGACGGGGCGGAGGGCGCCAGTATAGTTGAAGGTCGGGAAGGGGTTGAAGTGGCCAGTAGCTGGATCGGGTTCAGAAACTACCTTCGGAGCAAGGATGTGGTGTAGGATATTACCCTGAGACCTATGAAGCGCCTTGTGCTCGCTCTGTAGTATCGTCAGCAAGGGACCAGGATATCAAGTGTGGCTGCAGAGATAGGTTACGCCGCCGACATGCCGACAACTAATTGGGTAGAAGGATTGAGGGTCCAATCTGCGCTGGTATTGAGCCGCTCGACTTACCCAACTTTTCTTAAAGCATTCCTGCGAACAGAAGAAGCTGTCCTTGATGCCGAGCTTGATGCAGGTGGGACACTGAAGGGAGTCGGCAGCCTTTTCACAGCCTACGCCAAGGCACTTCCGAGGTGCCGATGACATGGTAATTAGTCACTCACGCATGTGCATACGAAGTATATTCGACCCTGATGGCTACTTATTTTGAAGCGGTTCTTTAAAAGTTGGTTGTTTCGACGGGCGCGTTTCTAGATTTGTGCGCAAGGCCAGGGGCGACGAGATCTACTAATTGATAGTGGCGGGAGACGGGAGGGGGAAGGCGGCATGTGAGCCACGCATAATAAAATTTTCGAGAAATTTTCCAGGTACCTCCGTAAACGACAAATGCATTGTATTGGTGCAATTCTTGGCGACTTCACACGAAGTCCTCGAAGTACTTTGTAGGGGACGTTTGCCCAGCAGCGGTCGACTTGGTTGAGGAAGGGCAAAGTAAGTACTCCGTACTTGTCCAATCTTCGAGCTCGGAGCCAACGCTACCCCGCAGCAGCAGGGCCTTGAAGTTCAATGTGGTGAATTGAATCTGCCAAAAAATCGCGGGTTCTGTTGTCATTTTAGCGAGATTTTGCAACTGTGATATTGGGAATTAAGAGGATCGGTATCCTTCATGTCGATATTCCACCTTGCTCGAGCAACATACGAAGGGTACAGAATCGTCATTAGAACTATAAACACAATGTAGTTGTGCGAGATCTACCTATGTAGCTGCTTACTCACCGTCTCCGACAACGGCAGCCAGCAACAATGGTGGACTCGAGACCCGGGCTTGGGCTCGACAATGGAGTGCTTCAAAATGATAACCTAGTTTCATGTGGCCTGACCATTTATCGCTGCAGGTACAAGACAACAACCCGTTGATCGGATCATTACTGCCTATGTCGTACAGCACGAAGAACCAAAAGCAATACAATTATATCAAGTCCGTCAAGCAACCCATTCAGAATTTACTCTGCCCCGCGCTTGTTAATAGGAAACCGTCACTGAATCAACCAAAATTTGAAGAGATTGATACCCATCATTCCTCGCCCCGGGAAAGCTTAATGACCACCCATGGGTATGTACTTCATAGTAACTGACATCGATGACTCTCTAGGTCGTATCTGTTTGTCCCCCTTCCCCATCGGGACTATCAATTAAGCATTTTCTTGCACCCGCACATCACGCGAGATGTTCCTCCGAATGCTACTTACACGGCGACGCGTGCCACTTGTACATTCCGGCTCCCGCCGCCCTTGATTTTTGGGGGTACAAATAATGTAGCCTCTATTGCCGCAGAACCATTGGTCAATTGCATAACTACAATTGTACCCAGTAACCTGGGGCAGAAAAGAGAGTGGGGTGGTCGACCGACCTCGTTGCCGTCAGTTCTATGCTTAGCATTATAAAAGGGTAAAAAGTGACTCGAAGCCAACCTAAATTTCGAGTCGGAATTTTTTGGCCTTTTGTTTTCAGCCATGGCATTCGCCCCGTAAGCCCTCTATTGCCCAACTTCCTTCTTAGGAGAAGCGAGCCATGCATCATAAACAGAAGATTGTCGTCGTCGGCGCCGGGCCGGTCGGCTCGCTCGCCGCACTTTATGCTGCTCAGAGGGGACACGATGTTGAGATATATGAACTTCGTCCAGGTAAGGTGATTCACACATGGCGACTTGCTGCGCAAATGCGGTATTTCACCTTCCCTCTCACTTACACTAAGAGGGAGAAACTTCACGGGTCTGGATGCTGACGGATACTAGACCTTCGCTATCCTTCAACCGTTCCACTAAACTTCACGAAGTCAATTAACTTGGCTTTGTCTGAGCGTGGTATAAACGCCATTCGCAATGCCGGGCATCCCACTCTCCTCGATTCCGTCCTCAGGGCTACCATTCCCATGAGGGGCCGGATGATCCATCTCCGTCGTTCAGATGGCAGCTTTTACCAGGAGGCTCAGAACTACGACGTCCATGGAAGGGTAATTCGCATTGATGATTTGTTGACTCTCACTACGGTGTCAGCTCGGTTGTCGCTGACACTGGCTTTCAATAGGCTATCCTGGCCATGGATCGGGCGGGCATAAATAAGGATCTGCTCGACGCAATCGAGGGGATGCCTAATGTGAAAATCTTCTTCAACCACAGACTAACCGGCGCCGACTTTCGAAAGTGTCAGGCATGGTTTGAGGTGAAGAACGAAACCCAGGATGGCGACGCTGAGGGAAGGCCCCGAGAGATCCAGGTCGACTTTGATCTCATGATTGGGGCCGATGGCGCTCATTCAGCAGTGAGATACCACATGATGAAGTTTACTAGGATGAATTATTCTCAGCATTATATCGATACGCTGTGGTGCGAGTTCCAAATTCCTCCGCGAGAAGATGCACCAGCGGATGACCCTATGGCCAAGTTTGCTATCTCACCAAACCACCTTCACATCTGGCCAGGGAAGGAATTCATGTTTATTGCTATTCCAAGCGATGTTCGTATACCGCAGCACACCCTGATGGAGGCTGTCCCACCTACCGTTCACCCGTCCTCTCCCACACCCCATCAGCTAATCTTATACTCCCACGGCCCCGTCTCGTCTCGCTAACTCGTGGCCTTTTGATTTTTTTTACAGGATGGCTCGTTCACTTGCACTCTCTTCCTCCCCAGCGCTAGCTATGCTCGTCTGGAGAATGATACCGCTTCCATCCCCTCGTTCTTCGATGAGCATTTCCCTGGGGTAACAGAATTGATTACCCCCGAGGCTCTCATTCAGTCCTTCGAGGCGAATCCTCACCTTCCCTTGATCAGCATCAAGTGCCAGCCACACCATTTTGCTGGTTCTGGGGTCATAGTTGGAGACGCTGCTAGTGCCATGGTTCCCTTTTATGGGCAGGGAATGAATACGGGCATGGAGAGTGTTCGAGTTCTTTTCTCGATGCTGGACAAGTACGCGGCATCTGTAGCGGACAATAATCCACTCGAGATCTCCGACCCGGCGGCGGCAAGCGCGCATCAACGAGCTCTAGCACTTGCGGAGTTTTCTACTTACAGAGTCCCCGATGCGCATGCGATCATCGACCTGGCCCTTCAAAACTACTTGGAGATGAGATCGTCCGTCTTGTCGCCTGCCTACCGCCTACGGAAGTTCCTCGAAGAAACCATCTCTGTCTACCTTCCCGGACTCGGTTGGCGTACCAAGTATTCCCGTGTCAGCTTCGGGAATGAGAGATTCACAGATGTGATGAGGAAGAGCGACCATCAGGGTAAGATTCTTTGGCGAACGTTCGTCGCAGCTCTCTGCAGCCCAGTCGTCATCGCTGGCATGGTGCATTGGGCTCGTCACGCGGAGCGTTTCCCCAGAATATGGAATGGCGTCTTAAGACTGCTGCGCCGTCCATGACGACATTCCTTCCTGCATTTCCATATATTATTTCTTGCTAGCTTATTCCATCTAATTTTCTGTTTATTCCCCCTCCCCGCATTCCCCGTCCCTTTTACACCTCCGATCTTCTGAAACGTACCGGGTGGATGGCTGCAAATAGATGCATCTAGAAGCAATTCCTCGTTCTCCATCTCCGCGTTCTTTCCAAGGCGGCTTATATCAATCTAGAATCACGTACATACGTATAGGATTTGGGAGACGCGGATACGTACTCCCCTATTCGTGGAACTCTGCGGGGGCCCGGCCTTCACAACATTGAGTAAGTATGTCTACGACAAATCATCACCTACAACCGAGCGGGGCCCTATGGGGCTTGGAGAGGCCCGAACCAGACACTCGAGAAATTTAAATACAATATCGGTACTAGTTCCATCTCCGAATCAAATTTACGTTGATAACGAGTATCTGAAAGCGAGGGAGCAACTCCTAGACATGGGCAGATTCCAGATGGCAGTTGTAAAGCTGTCACCACCAACTGAACTACAAAGATCCACAACTAGCGGTTCTGTGTAAACTACAACGAATGGTTCTTTCCTCCACCCCCGCCACCTCTTTCGTTTCACGCTTCATTCACATTAGACCGAGGGCCAGGCTACAATTTCGTGTGTATCATTACAATTACTAAATTATATCTGTGACGGCATATTTGGGCTGTGTCTCAACAGCCTCCTTCACTCAAGGCCAGCGATGATGATGTGCAGGTCCTGACCTCCCTGCTGATGCGATACGCAACCTGTCCAGCAAGCTGCGGGGGATGCGCCCCCCTTTCCTTAGTTGAGCGATACGGATCTAAATCCCGCCAAACCTGCTCCACATCATGCAAGACCGTAAGCTCCGAGGTACATACAAAAATGATGCTCCCAAGACGAACCAAATAGTGTAGTACAGCGGACAGGCCTATCAAGACTTAGCCTTTGCCCTCAGGGGACAATCCCCTCCGCATCTCGTGCACTTGAGGCACATGGGCTTTTGCCACACCATCCTACACCGGCAAACCCAGAGTTCCTGGCGGAGCTTGGTGAAGATGGAATCCCCGGGCACATGCAGGCCATGCCTTACGCCGCATTCGATACAGAATCGTCTAAGAGTGACGACCTTATGGGAAGTGTCTTGAGCGGGAGCGGCGTTGCTGTTGTTTCCTAGCGCTTTTAGAGGTGGCGCCACTCTTTCTCCCCTCGCGTTGACGTAGATTGAATGAGGCTGTTCGGCGTCGAAATGGGCCGGCTCTCGCACACGGAAGCAGATATAGCAGGCAAAGTTCCCGGGTCGTTCCTGGCCCTGGACGACGACGGGGAAGTGCTTGGGGAAGTAATTCTCGGCGCGCATGACGAAGGCGAACTTGTCCTCCGGGGACGCCGCCTGAGGGTTGACGGTTTGGTGGAGGTAGCGGTTTACGCACGAGAGGGCGATGAGGGACTGATAGTCGAGGTAGGAGCATATCTCCTTTCGCAGCTCGGGGGGCAGGCGTTCAAAATGGAAGCGGAGGGGCGAGGATGGCGAGCTGGGTGCGGACACCCTCGCCAATGCCGATGATGGCTGGGAGCCTGATGTCGGGGCGGGCGCTTGCATAGGGGCGATCTGAGGAAGGGATACAGAGAACGAGTGCATTGCCACGGAGGGGGCCGACATGATGACTGCAGCCGACATTTTGGTGGCGACGACCGACGTGGGACGCTGGATTTTGTCGTGTTGGCCAGGCCAGGTTATGTGTTAAGACTTCAAGGACGGGCGTCAACGTGCACGGAAGATGGCCGCTGGCTTATACTAGTGATATATGTTGAAGGCGCCTGGCTGGTTAAGCTGGCGATTAGGCAAGGCTCTTCCCCAGTTTTCGGTTCGAAAGCGAGCGTCTTTCTGGGCGAAGGAGAAAGAAGGTTGGTAATTAAGATGGAGATGTGTTGAGCCGGAACTGAATAGGAGAAAGAATAGATAATCGGCCGAAAGACAAGCTGGTTTGGTATGGAAAGTTCGTGAAGAGATCTCAAACATGCGTTTTCTTCCAGACAATGCGGTAAGGGGATGTATTATTGCTCGTTGAGCCTTTAAGCTGTCTTTGTTTCCTTTTGTTCTCCCTACTCAGGGCGTGGTATAAGGCGTGTCTTCGATGAGGGCAAGGATGAATAATGATGGTGGTTGTCGAGTTGGAGGTGTATGAAAGGATAGAGACCAGAGCAACGCTTGGGTAGTGACGGGCAAAACTGTCAGAGGAACAGGATGGAAGAGACAATAAATACTAGGGAAGCACCTTTCAGGGGAGCGGATCTCGTCAGCTCTCGGGTTCGGACTGGGGTAGTTTGTGTCTTGGGGGTCTGAGACGATGGATGAGAATCAGTCCGGGTGAGAATCGGTCTAATGTAGGTGATACATGCGTGGCCCACACGCTTGTTCTCTAATGTAGTGGGATCTGACTTGGAAGTGGAAACGTGCGTGAGCACCGAGAACAATAAGAAGGGATTGATATACGAAGGTAGAATCTACTATATACTCGTGCTTCGTACAAGAATGTACTGCAGGACGTACAGGGGCATGCAGCAACGGAAAACGGGGTCCTGGAGGGGGAGGGTGGGTGGATCATGGGGGTAGATGGGTAGACGGGGATGAAGACAACATTGAAGCACATTCATCCTGGATCTCAGGTTGCATTCACACATCAGAGCAATCCGTTATATAATATTGATACAACAATAGATACAGAAGAGGGCAAGAAGCTGGAGCCTAGGCCTGAGTTCCAATCTCCTACTGTCCAGGCGAGGATCAATATTATAATAATACCTCGTACGAAGAAGATGCTGCATGCCGACGTCGACAGGGTCCTTGGTGGAAGCAGCCACTGAGAAGGCTCATCTGGGAGCAAGTCACCCAGAGGCTCGCCTGCGTAACTGCACGAGGGCTTCCGAGAGAAGAAGTTAATCTGCATCCCCTTGCTCGACTGGCGAGATCTGCTCCCAGTTACCACATCCCAGGGAATTCAAGGGTGGCCCGAGAGGCCAGGGGCGGGCGACGCCATGAGTATACTTCGTACTCCAATCGTTGTAGTGTAAGAAGGTACGAAGTACGAAGTAAATGGAGACGTTTTGTTGTCGCTGTTGTATCTGTGCTCATAGATTTGAGACTTCGTCCAAGTTGGCAATCACCCTGGCTCGCTGGCCCCCCCACCCTACCTACCATATGACACAACACCTTTGTACGAAGTAGAGAGAATGATGCCGAATACCTCAGTACTCCACGGGAATAGCTGACAATGTTTCGTCCTTCAGACCTTCACGCTCTGTAAAGATCGTTGGTGAGTATGCGGCAAGTCTCGCACAAGGAACGAGAGGGTTCTCGGATTAGCCAGGGGGTGCCCCTTGACCAACGTCCGCAGTAGTTGCGAAGTATGGCGACGGTCTGCCCAGAATTAATTACTGCTTTCATCCTTTGTAACATTGATGTCTTCGTTGAGAGAGTACGAAGTACTGTACATTTGCTCTGTACGAAGTACTTCAAACACACTTTCTCGTCCTACATACAACCCATGCTCATGCCATCCTCATAATCCCAGAGATGTGGTACTCCGCTGGAGGGGATTGGATCCCAGATTCCCACCACCATAGCTCGGGTTCCTTGCTTTGACCGGATTAGGAAATGGTGCGGCCCAGCAGGAAATTCCCTGTCGTCGTCCTTGCACACTAGTGCATGCCATCCAATTGATACTGGAAGGGAACATGTACGAGGTAGTGTCTATAGGTAGGCACTGTTAGATTTAGACCACCACACCAAAAATGAGCGACGTGCCACTCTATAGTGGATGGACATAAAATCTATCATTTCAACAGGCACTACTCGGTCCAATGAATGGAATTGATTTGATGTCGATTGATGGTTGAGTTTCCTTCTGTTAATCCCAAGGTCGGGTTGATCGACAGCCTCGCAGATCTGTGGACCATTCATCATGTCCACAGCCGTCACTCGATGCCATGTCCCTCGGTTCCACGGTTGAAGATTGTCCTGAGAGGCATCCCGAAAGCATCCTCCTTCGTACCCCTGAACAGGCATCTGTGGAGGAATCCGGTGATGCGACATTGTGTCACTGTTCGGCGAAACAGTTCTGACGAAGTTCATGCACTTCCAAACACAATTAGTGATATCCGCCTGAACGCCTTCCTGTGGAAGAACTACGAAGTATGCTATTGATATTACCACAACTACGAAGTACAAACCACGAAGCATCAAGCGCAAGCGCACGGAAGTACGAAATATACTCAAAGGGATATACTCAAAGGCCAAAAAGGGAGAAGTCGAGCCTAGATGAGATCATCCCGCAGCCAGGATCTCTGCAGCAGCAGCAACTACGAAGTATATCGACGAAACTCACCAAGCAGTAGGCCGGCGAGCTCTTTGTCTGTTTTGTGGGCAAGGCGAAGCAATACTCTGTATATTTCTATTGATTAATCGATTAATGTCATTTTGTGTACTTCGTAGGTCCTTGCCAGTGCTGCAGCTGCACCTTCGAGTAATTAATGTCTCACTGCCAGTGGAGAGCTCACGAGTCCGACATGCAGCAAAAAGTGCAGACATTTCCAGATCAGGTTGAGATAGATAATTTGATTTTAATCGCAACTGCCTAGCGGAAGTAAATGTGGTTTTACATTTAATATTATTATTTCGCACTCCACTCCAGATGGTTACAATTGTATGGTTCGTATTGGAGGTCCCCAGATGCAAAGCAATGATGGCTGGTCGAGTCGCATCGGATTCTCTCCCCCTTGCGGGGACCCGCCCACATACGGATTCTAGAACATCAACCCCCTATTACGAAGGAAGTCTGCCGAGTTTCCAAGAAATGTCGGAGCCCTTGCCTCGTACGTCCCTCCTTGAGAGCTTCGGCACAAACTGTCATCTCCCAGGTCTCACCCGAGGACGAAAATTACCGCCATGTTGCTTCCACGATCGCCGCCTTGTTCCGGGCGGCGACGGCATCAGGGACATGATTGCAGACAATCACGATTACGAGGGAGAATATTGGAATCTGGAAACGGGCGTCTCGTTGACACGACCCCTTCCGAAGACTTGAACAAGATTTGCGGAGTGTATGTGTATGTACTTCATAACACTTGAGGCTCAACTCTCTCGGGAGGTCGCCTCGCGTGGCAGACATGGATTATTAGCTCCGAGCGTACGAAGTATGCTACTTCGTACGCTCGTCGTACATGTAGCGTAATTTACTTCAGATTGTATCTTTTAGGGGACTGATGATACATGCACCTGACGGCACGCCGACTTGGTCCTTCGTAAAATAACTGTCACCACCAGGCCATCTGTAATTTCCCTTCTGGGCGCTCTGCATGAGCTTGGGTCATCCAACAGAGGCGTGCTACTTCGTAGATATCCACCTCCTGAGGGATAAACAAGGGAGTGGCTCACTCCAACCGACACTTTGTCATGCTCTCTCCTTCGTTGTGAAAAGGTCAAATTACGCTCACGTCGGCGGTATTTTACTTCGTAGTAGCCATCTTAGCGGTGAGAATTCCCAGTTGGGGCTTTGGTAACTGTTAACAGACAATTGAGGAGACCCTACAAAGTACGAAGTAGGTACAGTAGGTCACTGGTACGAGGTTGGAGTCGAAAGAGCCAGGCCAGTTTGCCTTGCGTCACTACGGAGTACGAAATAGCCTCAAGGTGACCACTGCTCGGATGACCTGGCGGCGGATGCTTCCGCTCGCCAGGGGCTTCCTCTATACAAGTACGAAGTATCCAGTAAACTTCATAGTGTATGAAGTCCGGTGGTTGGCTGGGTTGGCTGACTGCGAGCATGGCACTTGGGCCTTGGAGCGACAGCCAAAGTGCCATTAAGATCTGATACTTCGCAGTAGTTAATACCCCCCAGGAATTACTTGACTGGAGGTCAATGACCCAAACAGCACAGCGCGCCACCCCTAACTCCAAGTACATAGAAACTCCTCCATGGAAATAGCATCTCCCACTGCATTCCTCAAAGTGTGCTGTTATGCATTAGAACAGAGTCATCGGAATTGGAGATCATCGGCTTCAGTGTTGCTGGTGACGAGCTGGGGCAGCCCTAAGAAGCCATCATCTCTTTGTGCTATTTACTTCATCGTCCACAAAGACCAGCATTATTTCCCTCTCCTGCTTGTGTACCTCAGCGTTCCTTCGTAATGCCACTTCGCATCCTTGCGCTGCTGATATGGCCCTATCTCGTACGAAGCACAAACAAACAAACAGCAGCAAAGGATGAAATAGATTCAAGCCACATCACAATGCGTCATCTCATCGTTCCGGCGGCTTTCCTCAGCTTTCAGTCCCAAATGCCATCACTAATTCAGATCAGCACCATCTCGCCTCTCGCCTCGGTGTATTTCATGCACGCTTCCAAGTCGAGAACCAAGGTACCCTTTGACCAGGGATACCCCTCCAGTCCTACCCTATCCAATTGGGTTGTCACATCTCGTGGGGTAGCCTTTGTCCATTTGTCCTCAAGACCCAGAGAAGAGGCCAGCCGGGGGATGCTTCCGGAGGTCATGTGGGTAACATTGACTGGCTAGGCTCGTCTCGGGGCGATCCTACGAAGTTTCAATTACACCAACACACTGCCCCCTGCAAGGAGTAGTGACTGTACAGGTACATACCAAACCATGAACAGCAGGTGAACGGGCTTCTTCAACCCCTGGTATGCTTGTCCCGAACAATCACGACCGCCACGCGGCGATGCCGTCCCGGGCCCTTGGGAGTGGGTCGGTGTGGTTAATGAAAAGAGAACGAAGTACAATTGTACTTCCGAGAAAGGACGACTCCTGCATCGACTCCAAAGTCTGGTTCCATCGTACTGTAGGGGAGCAAAACCATCGATAATATTGTGAGCGAATAATACCATCAGTCCGAATCCCACAAAAATAACAAGGGATTGCGTAGTCGTACGGCTTCTAGAATCACCACCCCCAATCCAAATCGACTCAGTCGGCGATCATGAATTGCTCTCCCATGCCTAAACTGGTGTGTGTTGGGCCATGCACGCTACTCACCTCGCGCCTACGAAGAAGTATGCAGCTCCTATCCGATTGAGTCGAGAGCACGGCACTAGGAGAAGAAGGAACTCAATTCAATGCTATTAACCACGCCGGGAATACCTCAAGGATATATGATGTTGGGAACAGTACCAACTCAACGTCCAGTGTGGGAGGGCTGAAGAGAAGAGGCGACAACGCCTTGCTGAAGGAGCAACAAATCTCCCGGCAGAGAGAAAATCCCCAACTGCACGATTAGTAGTGAGTCCTGTGTGGCCTACCTCGACACTCGTGATTACATCAATGTAATCCAAGAACCGGTAGTGCTATCACATCCCGTCTATCTGTGTAAAGGCCATTACGTGCTACCATTCACAATCTTTGATCATAGGGATCTGTCTTGTCCCTTAGTATCCCTCTTTCCACCTACTCTTCTTTAGTTTTCCCTGGTTCCTACTCTTACCCCCATCTTGGGGTCCATCAACTCCGCGGCCATGGGGGTATGAGTGCCATGGCTATTCTCCCTAGGCGACAAATTCGCATAGAGGTGCTGCAGCTCCCGAGATGGCCGCTAGGTTGCCCGAACCGGAACTCACTAATGGAGTGAGTATTTGTGGATCGAGGGAGATACACGCTGTTGAGGGTATCCGATTGTATGTTCGTATGCTGCGCGTATGGAAGCCATCGTCACATCAACTATGAGCGTTGTGTATATCTCGTTTAGAGGGCCGTCGTTTCCCTGGCTCATCAAGGTTAGGAAGATGATCTCAGCAGGACCAGGCGCATTCCTATACAGGGAGAGAAGTGATTGAGCAGTATGGAGATAGCAGCTAGTACCGAAGGGCTAAGACCTTCCGATCTTCGGTCTTGCCGGACGGCCAATATGATGCATCAGCTAAGCGCTGGGCCCGGGATCAAAGATTGTTCGACGGTACTGGTCAGCTTTCACAGAGACGTGAATGTCGGATTATATCGAACTTCCGGGATCACGAGAGGATAAGCTGGATAAACTGGAACAAGCAATTGTGTAAGTTGTTCTTTTTTTTTCTCTGTTTTTTTTAATGTTCTATTTTCCTCCAGCCTCAAGTGTCATACTACGATACACTTAGAAGGCAGTCCACAGGGTCCCTCTTTGTCCTTGACATCCTCCTGAGCACCACCCTTCCCATTACCTTCACCCCTGCGCTCGGCACCGTTTCCACGCGCCGCACCCCTGTTCACGGCCTCTACAGGTTGCTTCTTACCATTGCTCCGGCTCTCCTCGCTTCCATGTAGTCAACCAAAGTGCTTGGCGGCGGTCTTGTAGAACTGCTCGCCCTGGATCTGGGCGACTTCTAGCTCGGTGGCGGAAGGCTGCCTGGAGCCGTCGGCGGCAGCGAAGGTACCGGCGCCCCAAGCGGAGCCGCCGCGGACCTCGTTGACGTTGCTGAACTGGGGAAAGGTGTGGGCGTAACCAAGAGGGACGTAGATGATGCCATGGTGAGTGAGGGTGGACATGGCGGCAATGGCGGTGGACTCCTGGCCACCGCCAAGAGTGCCAGTGGAGATGAAGAGGCCGGCGAGCTTGCCGTGGAAGCCACCCTTGGCCCACAGGCCGCCAGTCTTATCCCAGAAGGCCTATTTACGAAACCGCGAGTTAGCGCATTCCCCACCTAGAATAGCAAATGCTAGCCTTGAGAGCTCTCTTACCTTCCACTGAGCAGGGAAATTACCATAACGGGTGGGAATACCCAGGAGGAAGGCGTCATATCCGGCTAGGACAGCGGGGTCATCAAGGGTGGGATACTGGGCCTTGGGAGGCGCGTGCATCTTGCCGAGGACCTCATCGCTGAGGGTCTCAGGGATTCTATGATCATGTTAGCGGGTTGTGTGAACTCGGGTTGTGTGAACTTTTGTCTGTGGTGGTGATAACATGGAAATATTTGGTGGAATAATAGAATGACGTCGTTGGCTTGGCGGGGCGGACAAGGTGGGGTGTACGAGAGGGGGAGGCGGGGTTTCCAAATTCGGCGGCCCAGCTTTGCTTGCTCAACGCTCAATGAATTGATTGCCCCTCCCTCCAACCAGGGATGAACAATCCTGATCGGATTTAATTCACCGATCTGGACAGACCTGGGACCAATCTCCTCAATTGGTCTTCGACCAATGCCGCATTCAGCCTGCCTCACCAATTGAACCCAACAGACCTGTGTCCTCGACCGGGATTTCGGGTGTCTCAGGCTCAAGGTTGGACGGATGATTGGGGGGGGACCTTACTGGAAGATATCGGCGGAACCACCAGCCTTCTCGATACCCTTCTTCTGGGCCTCGGCGAGCTGCTTGATGTGGCCATACATCGAGTACTAAGGTTCGCATTAGCATCATGATCTCTCTCGGTGCGGACTCGGTATGCGCTGGTGCCGATCGATGGAAGGCGGGAACAGCTGGGCGATATGCTCACATAAACAATAGCGATCTTGGGAGCCATTTTGACTGAAGAGGACGTTGGGTATTTAGAAGAGAGAGGGTATCTGAGGGTATCTGAGTATGGCTGGGAATAGACGAATGGAGACTGGAGGATTGATGAGAATGATACGGGGAAAGACGTGGTGGACGGCTCGACCTATATAGTTTTCCAACTCGCAGCTCGCATGGATGCCGGAGCTAATATCCGCGCTTGGCCCTCCGTTACTGAACACTTCCCATCGGTGCGTGGATGTGCGTGGATCCCCTTGGACGTGAGAGAATCAATCCTAACGGTCCAGTGCAACTTTACCTCACCCGTGGACAGATAGGTATCCATCATACGACGACTTTTCGTACACTCCGAAGTACAACACTACGCACACAGCTCTTCGTAGTGACATGCCTCCAACATGCAGGGAGGCAGCTTTACCTCGTAGCGCAACTGTCCTGGCTGTACTTTGGTATTAGTGGGATGCAAGATGGTGGATGCAACGTCAGAAGGGAGAGCTTTAGTGCCGGATGTGGGGAGAAGGCGTCCGTGTATCCGTGGGATCGCTCAAATTGTTCGCTTAGGGCTGTCTTTGTAAGATCTTAGACTGTTATTTATAACCAGTAGGTACCCCGTTTGCAGGCCACTCAGTAACGTCGCAAGACGCTGCGAAACAGTAATGGCTTCGACGTGATGGGACCTGACAACAATCCGAACTTTGAACTTCTCTGGTGGCTGCTCTGGTAACTGCTCCTAGCTTCCCTCTCGGCTCTAGTGTAAAGTTTTGCCAAGATTACGAAGTAGAAAACCTCTCCAGGCACACCTGCTGCCTCTGCCGTTACTAGTTACTAGACAATCATCAACTCTCGTTCAAAATTGCCATTGGGTTCCGCATTCATCAATTGATTGGATTATAATCACAGACACCACAATTGTACGTTGTCGGTCTATTGCCCTGGCCTCTAAGTGTCTCCTCGACAGCATCCTGGTCTTGGTTGCTGGCCTAGCAGTGTACGAAGGAATTCCCTTAGTAATTAGTTGCTCTCGGTTATCAATTCATTGGCCCTCGCCTTTAGGTACCAGTTTGAGGTTGATCCTATTGATATGAACTTTATCTGCAAGTCTGCCGCCTTGGAGCAGAGCGCTTAGAGTTTGGTGGAACACACCCTCTCGAATGCCTTCTCCCCTTCCCCTCCCCCCTCCCCCTCCCCCTTTCCGGCCCCAAATGCCCGATGGCATCAAGGAAAAGGATCCGTAGTCGGGAGTGATAGAGCAGGCGGGTGGGCAACGGCGTTTGGCTGCGCATGTGGTACCAGTAGAGGGCAGTGGCTGCAATCATGTTGAATCGACGGGAGGTACTTCAAGTTTGTTCCGAGGGTCGAGTACGCAATTGACACACAGATGATAGCCATGCGAATGCTAAGTTGGAAAGAACCAAGTGCCCACGAGTCGTTAGAAGAGCGGATTTGCGTCCTCACCGACGATGTGGACTCCTTCCAACACCTCCATGTTTCGTCGGCCGTGTAACTTTTAGCCTTCTAGGGGATAATGGAACGTTTTAGCCCAAGTCCCTTTCGGAACGGTCCGATGCTTTGAAGACGGTCCTGTCTTGGGCTGGTTACGTGTGGTTCCCGATATCGAGGCCAAGCTGCGGCTTGCTTCCAGTAGCAAAACCTGATGTTCAATGACACGAGTGGTGACATCAAATCGTGAGAGGAGATCATTGATACAAACTGGAAAAAGTACCTTGGTACTTGTCCATCAAAATTCAATCGCAATTCGTTGTCTGGTCTGTCCCTTGCAAGTTTGCCTAGATTGGCTCATGCAACGACGGATTAGTCGCGCCTGACAAACACCTTAACAATCCCCTCGATGCTTCAAGCTTCCACATCGGCACTAAAGGTGGGGTCAAACCCTCATCCCCTCAACCCTCAACCACACTGCTTGATACGAAGTACTCCGTACTGCAGCTGCTGATGCTGGGTTGATTGACGTCCATTGAGCAATGGTCAGCAACAACGGATTGATCAATCGAGATGGCCAATGGAGACTTTGAAGACTTCAACGAGCACTGCAGTGGGGCAGATGCAATCCTAATGTTGTCTGAGCAGTGGTTGTGGTGGCGCTAAGTGGTTGATCCTTGAGACGAAGCTACGAGGTAATCTGCATCGTTGATCAGAGATTGATCACAACGCAGTGATGAATTAATCAGTCAATGTGGGTAACAAGAGGACTGCGTAGATCCGTCGAGTCGGTGAGGGTGATTATTCCATCCTTACTCACTGGCAGGCGAGGTTTGTTCATACTCCGTATTGTTCCGGACCATCCAAACTCGTCCTCTGAAACGAGCGATGCATGTGATGCGACTTTAAGACATCAATTAACATTGAACTGTATTTCCCAAGTACAATTGTATTATGAAAAGCTTGCTAAGCAGCTGGGAGAGGGTTGGGAGGATTCGGTCGATGCAGATGGCTGAGCCGACACTGCGACGAAGCCATTTTATCTATCTATGGTACCGCCAACACCTTGAGAGACGAGACCTGTAGTATATGTATTGATGCATACTTGACGCAATCGCACTTCTTCTCGTCCAACGAGTCATGGGCCGCCCGATTGTCGACGTCTTAAACAATTTGAACCTGGGATTCCTGCATCGAGACCATGCCTGGCTTAAGCCACCAGACGCCAGACGGCCCCCACAATGGAACCACTCGGGGAGCAAATGGCGCGGGCTGGTCTCAGGCCAGCTGACTGAGCCCTATTCTCCGTTCTCACTTCTTTCGATTCTCAGCTGAAGTTATCGTTGGAAACGGACAAGCAGTTGAACGATCAGCATTTTATACCATCCAAAATACCTATGTACGCAGTCCGCATTTATCTGTTACTATATCATGAACGCTCTATCCTGTCCTAATTGGGTTTGCCTGTAATTGGTTCACTCAGCTTCAGCATCTAGGCGCCGGAGTGTCTGTTCGATTCATTTAGTTCCATGCAAATCAATTATCATATAAATCACCTGTACTCTTCCTGACTTCGACCCCAAGGTTGATCGCACGCGGCAAGAAGATCCAGATTGTTCCTTCGGGATCTTCCGAACCACATTCCTCCGTCAAGTCTAAAATGCCTCCATTCGACACGTCATTGGTCAATGTACCCAATACACCTTCCATCTCTGTACTTTCCGTATTATGCTCTCCAGTTTCGGGTTCTGTTAAACAGCACGATCCGAGCTGCCAGGAACACCACCGCTCCGAGGAACAACCCAGCCGCGCTGTACCCAATGGCACCCATCCAACCCTTGACGCCGCCGGCACCGACGATAGCTCCGGCGATCGGAGGCCCTATCACCACCGCTATTCCCGTCGCGAAGAACAACATGCCCATGCGAGTCCCCACCACGGAGAGGTCCGGCGTGAGGGCCACCGTCGCGCTGGGCGTCACACTGACAAGCCCGCCTGACGAGGCGCCGTAGAGCACCGCGAACGTGATGAGACCGCCGAGCGAGCGGATGCCCAGCCACGCGAAGCACAGCACGGCCGACATGATGCCCGAGGAGAGGAGGACGTTGAGGGTGCCGATCTTGTCGGCCAAGTAGTTCGGTATTAGACGACCGAGGATGCTCCCGACGCCCAAGAAGGTGACGAGGTACGGCGAAAAGTCGGGCGTCGTGATGTCGAAGTTGATAGCGTACGATTGGATGTAAAAGAAGCCCACATAAATGGTCAGGAAGGACGGAAGTATGCCAACCATTAGCAGCAGGAACGGCACGTCTCTCAGGGCCGTCTTGTCAATCAACGACCTCACATGGCCCGGAGGCGGTTTGCGACGCATGCGCATAAAGAACACGGGGATGATGGACAGCGCTAGCATCACGAATGCCAAGACCCGCGTCGCCCATCCAAACCCGATTTTGGGTATAAGCTTGCCGAGGAGAATGGGAAAGACGGCGCTCGCTATCGGCGATCCGGTCGAGGCAATACCCAGGACGAAAGACCGCCTCTTGAGGAAATACTGGCTCAGAATGGCGGCCGAGGGCAGGAAGACAAGTCCGCATCCTAGACCTACGCATATTCCCTGGGCGAGAAGCACCTGCCAGTACGTTGTGCAGAGCGATGTCATGAATTGGCCTAGGATGATGAGAAACAAGCCCGCGCATAGCATCTCTCGGAAGTATCCCGCATCATATGCGGGGCCGGCTATGGCGCCGACTAACATGAGCAACGCTGCCTGCAGCGAACCCACCCATGAAAGATCCGATGCCGAGCGAGATGTTAGAAGCTCGCGTTGGTAGTATGTCTGGAATACACCGTAGCTGTTGACAATGCCCCAGGTATCCACCGCGATAACCCAGGAACCTAGCACCTGGAGCCATGCTGTAAGGCCGCCGTCGGGGACTGGGTCGTCGTCGTCTATCAATTCGGCATTTTCGACTAGGCTCGGATCGCCCTCTGGGCCGAGCGATTCGGTGGAGGCCTGCCGGACGCTCGGTGCTCGATCGAGTTTCGGAGGATCCGAGGTTAATGAGATATTGCCCTTCTCATCGGCGCCGGACGAGTGCGGCTCTGTTGTCCATGTGCTCTCGGGGGTAGCATGGCTTAGGGCTATCTCCTTCTCTTCTCCCGACCGCATGAGCACTTTGGATATTTGCGAATCTCAGAGGCCTCGAATATATAAAGAGCCGCAATTACGGAGGAAATTATCAACGGAGACGGAGAAGCAACGACAGTCCGCAACGTCCAAAGCTACGTTGATGATGGCGGCCTGGAAGGAGGGAGAAAGCCGAAGGTGTGAGCTCGGGAGCCAAAACAATACCAGGTAAGAATGCGAGCCTCTACTTCGCAAGTTGTGGTGACCTGCTGCTGGGCGATGAGAGTGGCGATCTTGGTACTTAACCCGATTACAGGCTTGGCAAAGAATGGGTAAAAGATTTTCTCGATTTTAAAGAAGATTGTTGAGGTTGGTATTATCTATCACGACCGCTGCCCGTAGAACCACAAAGTAGAAGGATGAGCGAGGTGGGAGAATGGAGG